GACTGGAGTGCAGTGGCCACTCCTGGCCACCGCAGCCTCGACCTGCTGGGCTCCGGTGATCCTTCCACTCAGCCTTCCAAGTAGCCAGAACTACAGGCGTGCGCTACCGCGCCTGGCTGATTTTTGATTTATTGTAGAGATGAGGTCTCGCCAAGTTGCCCGGGTGGGTCTCGAAACCGTGGGCTCAGGCAATCCACTCACCTCAGCCTCCCAAGGTGCGGGATTACAGGCTGAGCCACCAAGCCCGGTTTATCATTGTACTCTCAAGCTTATTTGTGTCACAAGGAATTCTTGAGAGAATGGGAAAAGTAGCTGTTTAACTATGTTTTCTCTGAGAACGCCTCCCTAGTTTCTCCGTACCTCCCTAGCGCCTTTGCTTATTGCTTGTGTGATTGACTGTGACAGCCTCCCCACAATTCAAGGTTAGGTCTGGCGTGCCTCGTCAGTGTGGGTGCTGTTCAGGTGAGTTATGTCCTGGTAAGAGGGTGCCTGAATCCCTGGCTATCCCATTCCTCATTTGTTTAACTTGCACCTGCCTAGGAAGCTCACTTGTCCATGTCTGGGCGATGCTAGCTGTGCCTGCCTCAGTGTGGCTGCCACAGTATGGTTGCTGGCGACTCAGAGGGAAGAGGACAGGGCAGCGGAAACACTCCCTAGGAAGTCACAGCAGGGCAGTTGGGACCAGGTTTCATGCCAAGGTCAGCCAAGGCTCCAACCAAGGACTCATGGGGTGGATGAGGATGAAATCAGTTCTTAGTTTCTCTTTGGGATATGTAAGGGTAAATGCAAGTTTTGGGGTGATTTTTTTTTTTGAGTTGGAGTCTCACTCTGTCACCCAGACTGGAGTGCAGTGGCCGCTTCCGGGCACCGCAGCCTCGACCTGCTGGGCTCCAGCGATCCTTCGGCCTCAGCCTTCCAAGTAGCTGGAACTACAGGCGTGTGCCACCATGCCTGGCTAATTTTTGATTTATTGTAGAGATGAGGTCTCGCCAAGTTGCCCAGGTGGGTCTCGAACCCTCGGGCTCAGGCAATCCACTCACCTCAGCCTCCCAAAGCACGGGATTACAGGCTGAGCCACCAAGCCCGACCGGTAAATGCAAGTTAAAAACAAGAGGCTTAATTCTCCCTGTTGACAATAGAGAAGAGATCCCCCCTCTTTTTTCTTACAGCATTTACTTAAGAAAATTTATAATTACAAGTATCTTTCTCTTTGAAATGAATATAAATCCTTTTGGAGGCCGATAGGCTTTTTGTCTTTAACAGTCAAGAATATCTTTTTGAGGATCTGAGAGCCATGTTCTGGAACTTAAACACTGAGAGAGCTTGCGTCCTGTCTCCCTGGGAGCCATGTCCTGGAACTTAAACATCAGGGAGAGCCAGCTTCCTGTCTACCGGTTTCCGCAGGAGGTACCACTCTTCTTCTTCTTCAACTTGTAAGACTACCTCTTGTCTGAAGATTTGAGAAAGTTGTTCTTCTTTGGAGTAAAGCTAATTCGGTAACAGAGATGATCACCCCAATCACCACGTGACTCTCGGATGTGCTATGTGGGGCAAATAGTGCTGAGAAGGCCTCTTGCTCGAGGACAAGTGTCTGCTTACCTTGGGAGCATGCAGGACACGGGTAACAGCTGCGCGCCTTTATGAAAGGGTGGAGTTTCCTCTGGTCTGCATCCTTTTAGCAGGTTGCTGGTGATGCACAGCACATTCTGGCTTAATGGTTGCTCCATTTTTTAAAGCTGGGTTTGTTTTTTTTTTTATCTTTTTACTACATTTGTGGAGAGGTTTTCCAGGTTGGGAGATTTCGTTTGATTGTATTTCCCCAACAGATGTCACCTCCGACTTCACGCCTACGGTGAAGGTGGCTTCTTTCTCTCAGCATACTGTTTTCTTCTCTTTTTTTAAATTTCAAGGTTGTAGGGTACAAGTCAGGATTAGGTACATAAGTGGTCATCGTACAGATGAAGACTGGGCCTCCCTTTGGTCCCCGCTTCGCCTGGTTTGGGATCAGGAACCTTTAGTGATGTTATGTGTCCTCCCACCCCCCACACCACCGGCCGTGTCACAGACTGTTTTCAAGCTTCATCCATGTGGGAGCACATGTCAGTACTTCATTCCTCTTCATGGCTGAGTGACATTTCACTGTATGGATTTACCATGTTTGGAACGTTTGTTCATCAGCTGATGGACATTTGGGTGCTTCGGCCTTGGAACTGCTGTGAATAATGCTGCCATCAACATTCACGCCACCGTTAAGCCTCACGTCTACCACTCACTGCTTTTGTAAAGGTCGTCAGGACCCTCCATGCTGTGAATCCAAGGGGCATCTCTGTTGTCTCTCATATCATCTCTCAGGGGCATTTGGTCTGGTGACCTGGTCTGTTCCAGCACATTTTTACATCTTTTACCTACATCTCTGCCAAATTCTCTTCTGTCTCATTCTCCGATCTTGACCCTCCCCTGTCCACGGTCCACACAGCAGTAAAGGGAGTGTTTCCTATGGGAGTCAGGCCCTCTTGCCTCCCTGTGTAACTAGGCGATGGCTTTCCTTGGAGAATGAGAGCCAAGCTCCCTGCCGTGGCCTGAGGCCCGCGTGGCCTGGTGGTGTCCTCTCTCCTGGACGGGCCACATGGGAGGCTTTTGTCTGTTTGTATTTTAGGTTTTCAAAACATCACACTCATGCTCCCTCAGGCTGCCACCTGGGGTATTTGCTCCATGGGGAACTCCTCCTCCCGTCTTTCCCCACGGCTCACCGCATTCCACTCTTCCATCTCAGCTTCGTTTCACAGCCACAGAGGACCTCCTGACTGCTTGACCACCACGGGGGTGGGAAGTCTCTGCATCAGGAGCGCCTCGACTCGGTGCCTTGCCCCCTGCCAGCCTCGTTCTAAGGAGGTGGGCGCTTGCTGTGCAGGACGGCTGTGTGCCTTTGTACGTGTGCGTCTGTGTGTCTGTCTTGGGCTTGAGCCCACAAGCTCTGTGATGACAGAGACCTTGTCTGTAATGCTCACATTTGATGCCCAGGGCCTAGCATTCAACAGGTGCTCGATAAATGTTTGTTGGATGGGATGAGGAAACAAATAAATGACATGGAAAGCGAAGGGTAAGCTAGGATTAAGCGAAATATCCTGAGGGTCCAAAGGCACTTGGCAAAATGTACAGGGACAGAAGTTACAAGAAATGACTGGATTATGTAGCCACACGTCCGTAACTGCTGCTGACTAACGCACAGAATTATGTCCAAAGATAAGCATTTGGATTCTGGACCCACAGCTCCCTGGGCTACATCCCGGTAACTCTGGTCAGAGGGCGGTCAGCCTCCTCCCGGGCCACCTCCTGCCACCCACACCATGGCTCCTCTACTCGGAGCTGCGTCCACCTCCGCCATCCAAGAAGTGCCTGTCATTGTCCTTTGTTCTTGGAAACCTCATCTCTGCAGACCCTGCTTGACCCCCGACTCCTCGGGCAGCTGGACCTGCTCTCGTCTCTGCGCCCTCCCAGCACTTTGTGCTTTGCTCATTTCGTGTATGGCTGGAGCCTGACGCATCTGTCCCCTCTCGCGGCTCTGAGCAATTGAGGGCAGAGGCCACGACTCATTCATCTCTGCTTTCACGCCCTCCAACAAAGATTGACGGAGCATCTACTGCGTGCTAAGCCCCGAAGTCCAGGCCCAAGCCCAGAGGCCCACATGTGGTCAACCCTCATGGAGTCCTCGAGGGGGATAGAAAGAAAGAGCTTAGCTGGAGTCTTGGCCTCTTCACCGATCCCACTCATGGCGGGGCGACACGGAGAATGGAGGGAAGAGAAACATCTCAGAAAACAATAAAACCCGTGAGCTGTGAAGGGCATCTCTGACTCACACCAACTAGACCTCAGAGCAAGAGAGACAGAAATAGGTCTCTGTCCACACCGGCTGGCAGATAGGGTCTGTCCCCCATGTGCTTTTGACAGGAGGTGCCGGGAGCAGAGGGGAGGACGTGCTTGCCCTGGGAGAAGACGCACTCACCCCCAGGGGAGGACGCACCCAAGAACGCACTCACCCTATGGGGAGCACATGCTCACCTCAAAGGGAGGACCCATGTACCCCAAGGGGACGACACCCTGGCCCCGGGGGAAGGACGCCCTCACCTGGGTGGAGGTCGCCATGGAGGACGCACTCACCCCAAGGGAGGACTCCGTGGAGGGACGCGCTCAACCCAGAAGAGGACGCATGCATCTTGGAGGAGGACCTGCTCATCTGGAGAGGATGCACGCACCCCAGGGGACAATGCACTCGCCCCAGGGCGGGACATGCTTGCCCTAAGGGAAGAACACACTAGAGAACATGCTCACCTGGGGAGAAGACGCACTGGAGGACACGCCCCAAGACAGGACGCACACACCCTGGGGAGAACGCATGCACCCCAAGGCTGGTGGCACAGACGAGCCCACCGATGGAGTCCCAGGGCTCTCTCAAGCCTCCCTGCCACCTAAATCATCCCTCCGTCCTTGCGGAAAGTTAACGAGGGGCTGAACGAACAGGAATAAGAAAGCTGCCTCCCAAGGTTCACGAAGGGCTGGGAGGACCCTCAACGCTCGCCCCGTGGCCCAGACCACACTGGCCATGTGGGGAAAGGGACAACGGCTCTTTCCGCCGTCATCCTCGTGAGGACATTTTAAAGGTTGGGCCACTGTTTACGCGGTCTCCCATCTGAGGGCAGAGGCAGAATGTGGTTGCCCTGGAGTTGATGCATAATCTGAAGGCATGTTGAAAAGATATGCATGCCGGGGACGTATGCTCAACCCAAAAGGACAGAAAACCGCCCCCACGCGGACAGCCATTGAATCAAGAGTGCCGAAGTGTGGTGGCTCACGGCACGTGGGAAGTTGACGTGTGTTCACTGAGAGCCCCTGCAGAAAGATCACATGTCCCTTCAGGACACTTGGCCTGAAGCTCAAAGCAGGACCCCTGGGAGCCGGGAGGCCCGACTGTCCCCGTCCCGCCTCCCACAGCTGTCACTCACCGTGAGCTCTTTGCTTTTGGCGAAAGGCCACCAGCCACGCACGCGCTTCTGCTGGAATATGGAGATCTTGCTCGCCTCACTGGCGTGCTCAAACTTGGCGAGGTCGCAGGCCTTGGCGGACTTGGCCGCTCGTGGGAAGCTGTTGAGGTTCATCTCCAGGGAGCCTGTGGGGAGATGCCGTCACGGTCATGGGGGGTTCCCTGGCGGTGGGGGCAGCCTTCCGGTCACCGTCCTCATGACCCATCCACTCGCTATCCACCCCTCTACCTCGCATTCATTAAGTCACCACCGCGCTGGCTCACAATCCAGCGCGAGGTGTCTGCTGTACAAGCATGACCAAGACTCTGTGGTGCCATCCAAGGATGAACCACATGACAGCAGGTGGAAGGGTGGAGCCACATCACTGAACCACCAGGCCTCGGTGCCGGTGTCATGGCTGCAGCCCCTCTGCCCCCTGGGCTCAGAGCCTGGACTCTGGGCCTCCGCTGCCCACCTTGGCACTGGCAGCCCATGAGGGCCCTGCTCTCCCCGCCTCACGCCCCTCTCCAGTCTCTAAACGCCTCCAGGGCCGGGACTCCTCCCCGGTCTTTGTACTGACTCCAGGGACAGAAAGGGACCCTTGGTGGAGGCTGAGGAGGACACTGCGGCTAGAGAGCTCCGTGTCTCTCTCCTGAACGACTTTTTCCTGTGGATGAATATTTGCGAAGCGTGGAGAATTCAGAGCATGCACATCAGCAAAAAAAAAAGTGAGAATGGGAAAATTTCCATAATTTTATCCCCCAAAAGCTGGCCATTACTTTGCTTAGTGATGCTTAGTTCTGTCTCTCTCTGTCTCTGTCTTTGTCTCTGTCTTTTTCTTTCTCTCTCTCCATCCCTGTCTCTCTCTGTCTGTTTCTCTTTCTCTCTGTATCTCTCTCCAGCCCTCTCTCTCCGGCCCCCTCTCTTTCTCTCTGTGTGTGTATGTCTCTGCCTCTCTATGGCTCTTTCCTCTATACATATAAACACACGTTTCACAGGACAGAGCTTTTTCACGTAATACATTCGCTCAACTTTCCAACTCATTAAGCCTTCCAGGTGTTTGTCATGACTGTGGGGTTACCACCTGGGTGCCACACGTGAGACACAGTGGCTTGTTCTTGAACTGCGTCATCACATTTGCAGCCCCACTGCTCTCTGAGGGATGTGGAATGACTGTCCTCACTTGCAATGAAGGAAAACTGAGGCACAGAGTGGACCAGTCATCAGATCAAATTTAACACCTTCTTAGCCGTGGAGAGAAGCTCAACTTGAGTCTGTCTGCACATGGCATGGTCTACCACATGTATGCAGCACCCTTATAGCCAATTCCTGTCAATGGCTACTTGGGTTGTTTCCAATTTCTTCCTATTTTTTTAAATCTCTCTCTTTTTTTCTTTTTTAGTTGGAGTCTCACTCTGTCACCCAGGCTGGAGTGCAGTGACACACTCACAGCCACCACAGCCTCGACCTGCTGAGTTCAAGCAATTCTTCCACCTCAGCCTTCCAAGTAGCTGCAACTACAGGTGTGTGCCACCATGTCTGGCTAATTGTTTTTTATCTATTGTAGGGACAAGATCTCGCCAAATTGCCCAGGCTGATCTCGAACCCCAGGCTCAGGCAATCCTCCGGTCTTGGCCTCTCTGAGTGCTGGGATGATAGGCGTGAGCCACCATGCCTGGCCTGAAATGGTCATTCCTACGACTAAATCAGATCCCGCTCTCCAAAAGCTGAGACGACACCCCCCGCACGACAGTGTCGTGATGAAGCCCCAGCTCACCCAGGAAGTCGTCGGAGGACAGCCTCTCAAAATCCCAGACCTGGAGCACTAGCACGGCGGGGGTTTTCCGCTCTGTCTTCTCCAGCGAGAGGATGCTCTCCCGCTTGGTGATGACCATCTGCTTCTCGGCAGGGAGGTACTGGAACGGAAACAGGAAGCGCCAGTTGAAGTTTCCCTCCCCGGTCAGGGAGTTGTAGTGCACGTCCGTCTCCTGTTTGTCGTCCTCCAAGCCCTTGAGCCACCTGCGGGGAGAGGGGGCACAGCTCACACACCCACAGTACACCATCCGGGCCACGGAAACTTGGGAGCAATTCTGCTCATTTCAAAGTAGTCACGGATAACAGTCTTAAAATTATGATCTAGTTAGATTCGGAAGGACATTTCCATTTTAATCTGAAAGGGGGAGACCGGGGTCAAAGCGTCTGCCCCAGAAACAGACTCATTCCCGGTCGTTTTGGGGAAATGTCTTCAACAGTTAGGGTGGACCTGACACCCTGTGCTCTCAAGATGCAGAATTCAGGAGCTATGAAGGAAAAGTGTAACAGAATTCCTGCCACCCTGGAGCCCTTTAGAATAAGATTACCCATCACAGTGAGGCCTCTGAAATTGAACGGATGCCGACCTGGGCTGTCAGGTCTGTCCTGGGCTAATGTAGACCTGGGCCGTCAGCCCTGCCCTGGGCGGGCATAGATCTGTGCAGTCAGGCTGTAACTGGTCCCTTGTCCTTGGTTCTAGGCCTGGATCTGTGTGGCTTGGAGGGTCGGAGAGTGCCTGCCCCCATCTGGGGTCCAGGCCTGGTTCTATCGCTTATTCACTGTGCAGCCACAGATAAACCATCCAACCTCTCTGTGCCTGGGTTTCATTTGTAAAATGGAAGCAATCACAGTTCCTGGTTTGTAGGATTGTTCTAGAAAGTTACATGGATGACATTGGAAAGGTTTTGGAACTCCAAGTCATCCATCATGGCCTTTCTTCTCAGTATCACCCGGTCTTTCTTCTCCACCCCAGAATACTCCATGGTTAATACGTTTCTCCCTGGTGCTTTATCCATGGAAAATGAACTAACTGAGAAAACAAGTACCTTTTATTCAAACTAATTGATAATCCCAAGCCACTTGCTTTCTGGAAGCAGACACCCCCCCTCCCCAGGGCAGATCAGGGATGTGAAGACTCTTCTCTTCACAGAGCGATGGCACTACTCGGGGTGGGGACCCACCGATTCACTGAAGATGGTGCTCACCCAGTCAACACATCTGAGGTGTCTTCCTGAGGTGAGAGAGAGCTGGATGTTGGGGCGTGCTGGGGAACACAGAGATGGACTATAGCCTCATGGAGCTAGAGACATCGGGGGGTGCGGGGGATAGGGTGGATGACAGAAGGGGCAGGAAGGTGTGCAATGGCCCCTGAAGGAAGGGGGGCGAGCCCTCAGAAGGGAAGCATGGTCCCTGAGACCAGAGAGCTTGGGGAATGTGCCATGGGATGAGGCTGCAGAGATGGGAGAGGGCGGTCATGGAGGATGTCTTACGGCACATGAAGGATCCAGATCTCTGCCCAGAGAAAGTGGAAAGTCGCGGACGAGTTTTGAGTACAAGGCTGGCATGATTTGACTGTGTTTTGAAAAGATAGCTCTTAAGCAGAGATAACAGTTGCTGGAGGGCAAGATGACTGTGGAGAGACCCATCGGATGGCATGGGTACTGCGAGGGTCCCAGTCAGGGACTACGGAGGGAAGACCTTGGAGGGGCGTGGTAAGGGCGGAGAGGCGGGCAGCGCTGAGGGTGGAATGGACAGGGTGGGTGGTGTGTGAGAAGAAGGGCAGTCAGGGCGGAAGAGGCCTGTGGATCTGAGGTTCCCAACACCGCATGGACGATGGTGCCAGGCCCGGAGATGAAACCGTCTTGGGCCGTATGAGCATCATTTTGGTTTCAGACTTGTTGAGTCTGAGGTGCTTGTGAGAAGTCCAAGTAGATGGATGCATTGGGAACAGGAGTTGTCAAGAATGGAAATGGAAAGATGGTAACTGAAGCCACTGGTTACTTAAGTCACTTTGTTGAAGGGAAATGTTAGATGAAAATGGCAGAGAGACAGAATCGTGTGAGTTGAGAAGCAGGGCTGGGACGAGGCCATGAGCGTCCGTGGATGGATGGGGGACAGTGAGCTTTCAAAGAGCACGGACAAGAAGCAACCAGGGGGTAAGAGGAAAACGGGAAGCGTGGTTTGCTGTGGACGTTACAGAAAGACAGTGTTTCGAGAAGAAGGGGTGGTGGCTATGTCAAGTGTTCCTCGGGGGGCAATCAGCTGAGGACGGAATTAAACCACACAACCAACACGAGGCCATTAGGTTGAGTGCGTGGAGAGCCCTGGCCCCTCGGTAAGAGTTGCTTTGGCGGCATGCTGGGGAGGAAGCCAGGCTGGGGTTGGCTGGTGCGTGAGTGGCTGGTGCAGGAGGAGGCGACGAGGACAGACGTCTCCTGCAGCACACCTGACTAGCCGGCACTCGGAAAGTCTCAATCTGAGCTCTCCCAGAATACTCCATGTTTCTGGCCATGGCAAAATGCCTTTCTCAGGACGTGTTCCTCTTCCCTGAATTGGTGATCAGACAGCAATTCCAGAGGATCAAAATTCTGCTTTTAAGGCTCATATTTATTTTGGCTCATGCTGCTTCTGTGACTCTTTTGCAATAATTTGGCTCACACCTACATTCTTATTCTGAGAAAATGAGAATTCTGAACCACTGGACATGGCATGACTGACAAATACATTGATCGCGTGCGTTCTGAAGACAGAGTGTTTCTTGTTTGGGGAAAGCAAAGCGATATCAACTCGAGGCTGAGGTGGGCTCGCCACTTCTGAGATGCGTTTTAGCCAAGGCACAGATTCAAGTCGCGTTTTCTTCTCTGTCACCTCATCCCTCTCCCTGACTGGTGGCCAAAAGGAAGCACAGCCAGGATGCAGGACAGAGATAGAAAATACAGCGTCTGAGGTCAGCATTCTTTTTTTTTTTTGAGTTGGAGTTTCACTCTGTCGCCCAGACTGGAGTGCAGTGGCCGCTCCCGGCCACCGCAGCCTCGACCTGCTGGGCTCCGGCGATCCTGCCGCCTCAGCCTTCCACGTAGCTGGAACTACAGGCGTGCGCTACCACGCCCGGCTAATTTTTTTTTATTTTCTTATAGAGATGAGGTCTTGCCTGCCCAGGCGGGTCTCGAACCCGCGGGCTCAGGCAATCCACTCACCTCAGCCTCCCAAAGGTGCGGGATTACAGGCTGAGCCACCGAGCCTGGCTTGAGGTCAGCATTCTTTTTATCGGGAGCAAGAAGGAAAGTTGAATTTTTCAGCTTCTGCATTCACTTTACAATCTGCTAAACAGATTCATCTTTCATTAACGGCTGCATATCTCTCTGCTTCCTTCAGTTAAAGGGTCGATAGATGATGCATGTCACTTAATAAGTTTAGGTACCCACCAATTAGCCGAAAGATATTCATAGAATAGGATTTCCTCACAAAAATATTTTCATAAGATCATGATTTTTAGCAACATGGCCAAAGAAGGCAAATACTTGACAGTGAAAGTGTCGTCTCCAGCAAAGTAAGACAGGCTCCTTGTGCGGGCTGTGAGTGCACTGTCCTCCAGGACCCAGAGATTTGGTCAAGATTGAAGGAGGGGTAGAAGGGAAGAGAAGGGAAGATTGGTTGTTTGTTGACGGTCTTACCCTTTAACATAAATGTCACTTGACTTTTGGCCCGTGAAGATATTCTCGTCCTCCAAAACGACATCTTCGGTGTTCCAGATAGTCACTCTCAATTCATACCTGGGCGAGAGAAGGCAGCATCGGGCTGACGACCTCGAAAGCCGAGTCACCTGGTGTCTATGTGGCTGCAGTATTGCTTTGGGGGTACCGGCCCCTCAATTTTGCCAAGTTCAGACATGGCAGCACTCAGGGCCTTGGTTCCGTCAGAACCAAGTGTTCCAGCAGGAGACTTCAGACTCGCCAACAACATGAACTGCTCTGAGCAGACCCTTCTTCTACCATCCAGCGTTTTTCAGCTGAGGAAGCTGAAACCCAGAAGCCCCTGCCTTGACCGGGACCACCACTACCACCGCCGCCAGCACCCGCCCCTGCTGTAACTGGCCGGGTGAAACTGAGGCATGATCCCAGGTGACCCGCCAGACAGCAGATCAAGTGTCACGATCCGCTAGTCCCTGCCGTGGTTTCTGCCCCTGAGAGTGGGGCTGCAGCTGACCTACCCTTTGGGTCGCCTTGGAGAAATGTCCACAGGCGGGCCAGGCTGAGGCATCTCCTTGGGAAACATGTCTACCCACATCTGCAGGCGGCCCTTGTTGAAAAAAAAAAAAGACCTTTAAATTTGGGAGAGCGTGGGAGGCATGGGTAACTGAGCATTCAAGATTTTAAATGACCCCTTTACTAGAAATGGGTATTACGGGCTTGGTAGCTTTATAGACACTTTTAGTATATTTGCTGACAAAAACAGAGCTTACTTTTTTCCCCTAGGAATTAGAGTATCAAGAGCAGGCAAAGGGCAAGCAAACCCCTGTTGAGCACCTGCTAGGTGGTAGACACAGTGCCACGAACTTGGCAAACTTGAGGGGGTCTCCTGAACTCTTGCAATACCCCCAGGTAGATGGTCTCACTCTTATTTGGCAGATGAGAAAACATCTTGCCCGTGCTTACGGAGGCAAGAAGTGGCAGAGTCTTGATTGAACCCTTGCCCCAGAGACCCTGCTCTTTCTACGGACGCCTAAGAATTTAAAAGACAGCAATATCGTCTGTCATGAGGATCACGTTTCATTGTCTCTGATGTACCTGAGCATCCATTCTCTCTGTCAATGCTCACCCAACCACGTTTCTGCTCTACACATATAGAAACCGAGGCTCAGAGAAGTCCGCTGAGTTATCTAAAGTTCTGGGGCTAATTTGTGGCAGAACAGGGCCTCTGGTCCATTGCCCGGAGCGTCAGGCTTCCGGCTTTCCCACTGCAAGGGATTTAAGAGCCTGCGTGGGGAGAAGGCCTGGTGGAGTCCATGCCCAGCGCTGTTGTGTACATTCTACGTTCACTGTCAGCTCAGGCAAGAAGGAAGAACTCCACACGGGGTGGGCTGAGGGGGGAAATTTTATAAGAAGGAGGTGGGGCTTCCTCCAGGGCTTGAAAGAGATGCAGGACTTGGATGAGGGAGGGGTTTTGGCCAGGGGAAAGGAGGCTTTTCAGGTGAAGGGGGAAATGTAAGCAAAACTTTAGTATTTAGGAAGAAAAGAACAGATTGAATGGAGTCCTAGAGGAATGTGGGATTTTTTCTTCTAAAGATACATTAATATTCACTCTAAATCAAATAGCCACATCTGACCAGCAAAATGAAGGATTCCAGTAACCAAAAGATTTCAACATCTTGTAGTGAATTTTGGAAACCAGTCATGATTGCCTTCATCGGATAATGGGTTCCCTTTCCAACAAGCCCAGGTCCCGGGTCTCCACCTCCCACCCCAGGGAGAGCAGGGGGGGTGTTCTGCCCCATTACAGCCAAACTCACATGATCTGCCCAAGTTACAAGTTGAGTGAGTCCTGAGCTGAGACAGAAGTCAGCATGGCATGTGGAGGGACGCAAACCACCTGGGTGACGTCCCTGCTCTGTGCCTCACCACTGAGTAACTCCCAGCAAGTTACTTACACTCGCCAAACCACAAACTCCTCGTCTTAAAAGGCGAGGGCCAAAATAAGCCTGTTATGAGGCTCTACTAAGGAATAAGCGTAACGAGACCCTAACACCCCTGCTTGTCTGGGAAAATCTTGGAGTGTGTCCCTTGTACCAGCTCAATAATAATAATAATAATTATTATTATTACTACTACTAATTAATTTTTTTTTTTTTTTTTACTGAGACTCTACCTGTCCAGGCTATTTTATTAAAAAAATTTTTAAAAAATTCTTTTTATTATAAAGATGTGGGGTACAATTCAGGGTTAGGTATACACATGCTGATTATGCAGGTACCCTTGTTGATGAGGTGTGCCCCTCCCTCCCCTGGCAGTTTCCCTCAACTGCCAATCCCACTCCCCGCCGACAGTTTCCTACTACTGCCAATCCCTTTCTTACAGTATTATGATAATGTTCAAGGTCCGCTTATGAGTGAAAATATAGGGTACTCTGTCCTTTGTTTCTGTGATAGATCACTGAGGTTGAGCGACTCTAAGCCCATCCAAGTTGCTACCAAGTCCATATGTTTTTCCTTCTTTATGGATGCATAATATTCCACTGTGTGGAATCTAGTCCAGCTTCAGTTCAATTATTAAAAGCGCCCTTGCTCACCCTCGAGATGCCTCTAGTTTGGACAGACAGGTCTGTGGTCATCCTAACTGCGCAAGTTGGGGCCCTAACTGCGTCAACAGCCTGCATGAAGGGCCAGGATCGGCTCTGAACGAGCTTGTCCTAGCCCGCTCTCTGGCTTTCTGTGCCACACAACTGCTTCCTGCCAGTTCCTCAAGGCAAGCCACTGCCTATTGCTCCTTCGGGACAGCTGTGTGTAGGTGTGGGGGACTGCCACATTGTGCAGCTACAGATCGATTTCGGACGAGGTCTCAAGCGTATCACACGGGTTTTGAAGTTTCTCGGGTGTTAAGATAAAGACAAAAAGGACCAAATCCAACCCTGACTCCAGGCAAGCGTTCCTCAAACCTGGCATTAGTGACATCTTAGACTGGGCGATTCTTGGTTGGGGACAAGCCGTCCTGTGTATTGTGGGATGTTTAATTGGTGGCATCCTTGGCCTCTGCCTACCAGATGCCAGCAGGACCCCCACCCCCTTGTGACAAGCCAACACGTTTCCAGACATTGACAAATGTCCCTGGGGGACAAAGGTCAAAATGAACGAAGGCCCATGAGATGCACTTGCAGGTCAAAGCCACATTCCCTGTGACGAGCCCCCGCTGGGGCCAGGCTGTCTTGCCCGCTACCTGCTCCATGCCCGGCTTGTCCTTGTGGTACAGTGGCCGAGTTTCTATGTGCTCGGGAACCAGCCGACACCCGACTTCCGGGATGTCCTCCCAGGAACGTAAGACCCTGAGGGCCAAGTGTTCATAGGACTCCACTATCTCCTCTGTGAAAAGAAAGAGACAGACAGGGACTTGTGATGGCTGCCAGATGCATTTTAAACCCATGCCTTAAAGGCTTACTTCAATATACCAGGAAGCAGGAGAAAAGACAGGGGAAGAGAAAAAGGAAACGGAGAAGCTGGAAAGAGGTGCAGTCGGCGTGGAGGGATGGGAAGGAGATGGAACGTCTGGAGAGAGGGAATGAGACAGGATCAGGGAGTGTGCATTGCTTTTGCCGCCAGAATCAGGAGTTTCAAAAGAAGTGCAAGCCAGCTGGATGAGTTGCAGGAAGTTACCAGTGTCCTCTTCAGTGAAGGCGGTTTTTCCAGAAAAGACCTGGTTTCCTATCTGTATTTTCCCAGGGCGGAAGTAGGGCCCGTTCAGTTTGTTGTCTTTGCAGAGCTTGGCGAGGATTTCCGTGGGCTTGGATGTGTCTCTCCAGGCATTGTAACCTTCTCTGAAAAGTGGACGGAGGACACATGGGGTGAGCCTGTCTTCTCCCTGGGGGACACACTTGAGGTCCTTGTTAAAAGAACCACCAAGAGTGACCAGCACGGCTCCAGCCAGACTGAACTTGCTACTTTATGTACTTGGGGCTCCTGTCTTTGTTTTGTTTTCTCTTTCCTCGTCCTTCTCTCTCTTTTAAGTCCTCTGCAAACACGGTTTGTGCGAAAGACAAGACTTGAGCAGCTTGACAGAAAAGCCCTCTGCAGCTAGGCTTTTGTTTTTTCTTTTTAAATAATATATCTAGCCGGGTATGGTGGCTCTTGCCTGTCATCTCGGCACTTTGGGAGGCAGAGGCGAGAAGATTGCCTGAGCCCAAGAGTTCGAGACGAGCCTGGGCAACTTGGTGAGACCTCATCTCTACAGTAAATCAAGCAATTAGCCAGGCTTGGTGGCATACACCTGTAGTTCCAGCTACTTGGAAGAATGAAGCCCCTGAGCCCAGCAGGTCGAGACTGCGGTGGCTGTGAGCGGGCCACTGCTCTCCAGCCTGGGCGACAGAGTGAGACTCCAACTCAAAAATAATAAATAAATAGACATAAATAAATAATATATCTTCCTTAAAAAAACAAAACACTTGAAGTGAGATCTGCATAACAAAATAACCATTATGAAGTTGTCGACCAATTCGGTGGCATTTGGTACATTCACAATGATGTGTAACCACCACCTCTACCTAGTTCTAAAAAGTTTTCATCACCCCAAAAGAAAACCCTGTCACCAGAAAGCAGCTGCCCCCTTCTACTCCCCAGAGCCTTGGCAATCGCCAGTCTGTTTTCTGCCCTTGTGCACTTTCTTGCAGCTCATTTTTGTTTAGTTTTTGTTCTGTCCCTAGAAGAGCAGCTTATTCCAGGAGAGAAGCCCAGCTCATCCTTTCAATCTCTGCTTCTTTCTCCCTTCCCTTCCCCTACCGAAAATCCTGTATAGACTCTCGACACAGACAAGGATTCTCGATGTGTTGTTTCTCTCATCAGCGATTGTCCTGGTGGTGAGTTTCTAAATCTCCCCAACCCCCTTTCCCTTAAAAACTAGCTTTCTGGTTAAAAATTATTAACTTGCAATGAAGTGTTTCCGCAGAGCCACGACCAGGATAAGCTTGGTGTCTTTGTTCACTGGAACACCGAACTCATCGAATTTCCCTTGTTTCATTTTTTAAAGAAATCAAAACATGGCTTATAAACCACAGCTATAAGCCTAGTTTTCCTACATTGTGGCAGAGACGTGAGGATTCTGGGAAGGTGGTCCAAGCCAGCCCCGGAGCTAACCCCTCCCTGCACGCCATCCCTACCCTCCCAGCAGCAGGTATGCTTGTCATGTTTTAAAAACTTTTCAGCGAAGAAAGGTCACAACTCCCCTGACTAAATTACCCTGAGCTGTGGCAGGTCCCCCGCCAGAAAGTTCTCCTGAACAAAGGCTGTTCCATGTTTGCCTGTGACTTTCTTCCTCCATTTCAGGGCGAGGACAGCTAACCACTCTCTCTTTTGGATTCAAGGGGTGCATGTGCAGGTTTGTGACATGGGTATATGGCATGATGGTGACGTTTGGGCTTCTATTGAGTCCATCACTCAGGTGGGCGTGGCCCCCAGCAGGTGGATTTTCAACCCTGACCCTTCTCCCTCTCTGCCCGCTTTAGGAGTCCCCAGCGTCTGTCATTCCCTTCTGTACGCCTGTGTGTATTCAGTGTTTATAAGTGAGAACATGCGGTATTCAGTTTTCTGCTTCTGTGATAATTTGCTTGGAATGATGGTCTCCAGCTACATCCATATTGCTGCAAAGGACGTGATTCTGTTCGTTTTTATGGCTGTGTATATTCTGTGGTATACATATTCTACACTTTCTTTCTCCAGTCCACCGTTGATGGCGGTTCTGGGCTTTTGGTATTGTGAATAGTGCTGCCATAAACATACACGTGGAGATGTCTTTTTGGTAGAGTGATTTATGCTCCTCTGGGCACATACCTAGAAGTGGGATTGCTGGGTGGATGGTAAATCTACGCTTAGTTCTTTGAGAAATCTCTAAACTGCTTTCCATAGGGATTGAACTAGACTGCATTCACACCAACAGTATCTGAGCGTTCTCTTTTCTCTACACCAACATCTGATGTTTTTTGACTTTTTAAATTTATTTTATTTTTCTTTTAAAGGTGTGGGGTACAATTTAGGGTTAGGTACATCAGTGGTCATCAAACAGGTAAAGTTTAAGCCTCCCTTTGGTTCCTCCTTTGCCTGGTTTGAGATCGGGTACCCTTATTGATGTTATGTTTTTTGACTTTCTAATAATAGTCATACTGACAGGTTGAAACGGTACTGCATGGGAGTGTTGACTTGCATTTCTCCGATGAGCTGATCGGCCTTTGAATAGAGCCTCTCAGGTACTTGGAGAGCCATGGAAACACCCCAAGAGGCTTCTGGATTCACCAGAGATCCAAAACTCAACTAGTTTTCTAGGGTCAGGGAAGAGGCTAGAGAGAGAGAGAGAGAGAGAGAGAGAGAGAGAGAGAGAGACTGAAATTCATGGCATGGAGAAGATGGGCTCTGGGACTTTATGAATGGGAGTGTAGATTGGGACAACCCTCTGAAGGGCTATTTGGATGTATTCAACATCCTTAAAATGGACATTCCTTTTAATGAAGGAATCACATCGATGGATGAACACTGAGTGAGCTATCAAGAATTGTGCAGCGGCATTTGCATGGGAACGTGAGTAGCAGCAGTATTTATAACAGAATAAAGAAGGAAAATATAAATGTCCTAACATTCAGGAAGGCATATTGATTGCATCATTTTATAATAAAATAAAGTCATTGGGATAAATTAATTAAACACTACCGAGATATTAAAATAATGATTATAAACATATTTAATGATGTAAAATTCTTGGGATACAGGGCTGTGGCAATGAGCTGGCTACACAACTGTGTGGAGAACACAAGTCCAGCTTTGAGGAAAAGGGGGTGAAAAGGTGCTGAAAGGAATCCCGCAAGAATTTTTACATGTGTTATATCCGGGTGGAATAATTTGAGTCTAGGTTTCTAGTTTTATATTTTTTACTGGCTGAAATTTGTAAGAGTTTTTTTTCTTTCTTAAGATATCAGCTACACCATACTTTTTTAAGAAATAAAGTTGGTAGTCTGTATTTTCAAATTAAGCAGAATTCAAAATATTTCCAAAGAGTGAGAGTTAGGTCCATTCTGCCTTCGTTTATAAAAGGAGAGAACACCTTGAGGGAATGAGATATTTTACATTTCACGCAAATGGCTTTGTTAGCAAAGGCACACGTGAGGGCAGCCACGACTGGCTGGGACACTGGCATTTGTATCGCACCGACCATTCTTCTTTCAGCACTGCTGCCCTCCAGGAAGCCCTGTCTCCCAGCCACAGCCGATTGAAGGAGCACATGCAGTTCCGCTCTTGACTCCTGAAGAGCCTGCCCTTGGTTTGAAACTAGAGGTGCACCCCAGCCCCAGCAGCCTTCAAGTGCACAAAGTTTCCCCAAATCAGCCCTCCAGATGAGAGCCCTCTTGAGATATTAATGCTGAGGCCAGACCGGCCTTTCTAGAGACAGACAGTTGGGATGCAGAGTCCAGAGCCTCAGAACACCAAGTGTCTCCAGAGCCCAGGAGGCCACTGCTTCAGTACACAGGGTTTCCAGAGCCCGGGAGACCACTGCCTTGGATCACCAAGCGTCCTCAGAGCCCAGGAGGCCACTGTCTCAGAACACCAAGGGGACCTAGAGCCTGGGAGGCCACTGCCTCGGAACACAGGGTCCCCAGAGCCCGAAGGGCCACTGCCTCAGAACACCAGTTGTCCCCAGAGCCCAGGACACCACTGCCGCAGATCACCAAGGGGCTCCAGAGCCCAGGAGGCCACTGCCTCACTACACAGGGTTTCCAGAGCCTGGGACACCACTGCCTTGGATCACCAAGCATCCCCAGAGCCTGGGAGGCCACTGCCTCAGAACACCAGGTGTCCATAGAGCCTGGAAGGCCACTGCCTCAGAACACCAAGGGGACCTAGAGCCTGAGAGGCCACTGCCTTGGAACACAGGTCCCCAGAGCCCGGAGGGCCACTACCTGAGAACACCAAGGGTCGCCAGAGCCCAAGAGTACACTGCCTCTGAGCACTATTTGTCCTCAGAACCCAGAAGACTACTGCTGCAGATCACCAAGGCCCCAGAGCCCGGGAGGACACTGCCTCAGAACACAGGGTCCCCAGAGCCCAGGAGGCCATTGCCTCAGATCACCAAGGGTCCCTAGAGCCCGGGAGGCCACTGCCTCAGAACACCAAGGGGACTTAGAGTCTGGGAGGCTACCGCCTTGGAACACAGGGTCCCCAGAGCCCAGAGGGCCACTGCCTCAGAACACCAAGGGTCTCCAGAGCCCAGGAGACCACTGCTGCAGATCACCAAAGGGCCCTAAAGCCCAGGAGGATACTGCCTCAGAACACCAAGGGGCCCCAAGGGAGGAAGGACTCACATTTCATACTGGCTCTGCAAGCCGCAGATGGCGCGGTGTTTGCTATAGAAGCGGTTCTCCAGGTCGATCTTGGTCTCACCAATGAGGTCGTCTGTCCCGATCATGTCATGGTCATAGATCAGGACGGAGAGCAGGGACTCCTTTGGGAATGTGGCTTGGATCTCGAATAACCTGTGGTCCAAGCGGAGGCTTCAGAAGTCACCATTCAGGGTCACAGGGAACTTCTCTCAGCTTTACTAGCCCACTGTTTATACTAACTCACTAAACGCTCAGCAACTCAGTTAATGCTTGGTGGATATTTGTTTGGTTTAATTTCTCACTGAGGGACAATCAATTTCCAACTCCTTTGTCAGTTTCCAATAGGCAATCGTCTCCCCTTTCATGGCCATGCCTTGCAGTCCTCAACGCGGAGGGCGGCTCGACAGAGAGGAAAAACCTCAAGTTGTGGTTTCCAGTCCTGGCTTTGGATCTGCCACTTCCTGGTTGTAAAACTCTGGGAGAGTTATTTCATCCCTTTCAGCCTCCTTATGTGTGTGCGGATAAATATGTCTCCTTTATAGTTTAGCATGGGGCTGTGTGCAACATTGTTTTTATGAAACACACGTTTTCCTTCCAGGCATTCAACTGGTGCCCCATACGTTGCCATTGCCCCGCCCTTCCATTGCTGCTTTATCAGCAGATACTAACTAGATTTATTTTAAATAAAACCCTGTTGAGGATGGGAAATCATAAACACATGGACTCTGCAAGGCTTGAGCCCTTGAGAACAGAGTTTTTCTTTTTTGAATCTCTGCATGGCTGGGGCCTACACTTGGTCTGCAGAAAGTACATACTACATCATGTTTCCTTGGCAGCCATCAAAGGCAGTGGTGGTCACACCACGGCAGGGGTGATGCAGGTCACCCTGGACCAGGGCAGCACGGGCACACTTCCCTGGCATGGTCGCTTTAATCTTCCTCTTTAATCTGGACAGGCAAGAGCACTGATGCCTCATTTTCTCAGGAGCTGCAAATGTTAAGAAGCTCATGCTGATCCAGTGTCAGAGAGCTCGAAGCATCACAGGCGTGTACCTGAATTCAAGCGGGGCTGATGGAAGCTTCATCTCACGCCCTGAGCTACTCAAGAAAAAAAGAAATTCAACACACTTCAGATGCACCCACTACTGAGATGATGGCCAGGGAAGAGGCAAGGGAGCGGATGCACTTTGAGTCTGCGGGGTGCTGGAGTAGAGGACGTACCAGGTGCCTTGCACGTTTAATCCCCTAAAGGAACCTGAGAGTCAAGTATCACTGTTGCTGCTTTATAGGTGGAGAAAATGGGATCAGAGCAGTCAAGCCATCTGCCTAAGGTTACTCAGCTTGTACATGGTGCAATGAAACCCTGGCTGCCTTGATACCAGCATCCATGCTGCCAGGGGCGCCAACATAAGTGGAAACCCCATGGGTGGACCTCTGTCATAGGATGGTGAGGGTGCAGGGAGTCATAATGTGGGACACACGCTGTCACCGGGCCCGCAAGGGTGCAAAGTTGCCCTGAGCTGGAGAGTGCCCAGTGCGTCCACACACACAGAAGCCATGGGTTCTTACACTTTGCAGGAAAACAGGACACAGCTGAGGGACGTAGCTCGACTTTCTAACCTCAGGGGTCACCTCAAAAGAGCAACAGAATGACATGACGGAAAGTCTTTCTAGCAGGAGGCAAAGGACACGCATCCAGCCCCTCCTCCTCCCATTGTGAATTGCGTGAGCTGGAATGTGCTTCTTAACCTCTCTGGATCTTGGCTGCTGTGTATGTAAAAAGGAAATGGCCTCAGTATCCAAAAGCAGGAGGCTGAGTCCATTGCCCCTTCAAGGTGTCTCTTGGATCTCAGACCAAATGCCCGGGGGCATCGCGGGAGGAAACTGACCCTGATCCATGCACTTATGCTCAGTGGGCTGCTGACCAGAACAGAGGTCAGCATTTCACCTCCTGCCACCATGTCACCCAGGTGCATGCACGCGGACACACACACACACACACACACACACACACACACACACACACACACACACACCAGCCTCCACAGTAACACAGCAGGACAGCACGACACAGCCCTGCTGGCCGCTGACCTTCCGAATACCGGGTTCAGCTGTTTGGGGATGTATTTGTCCCGGTCTTTGATTTCTGTTTTTCCAAGCTTGACCACAATGTAAGGGTCTGACTTGCCATCGGGATCAGCTGGGCTGAGATTAAATGCCTAGGGAGAAAAGAGAAAAGTCCTTGGGTTCAGTGGTCCTCAACACTGACTCCACACAGGAGTCACCCAATGCCCGAGTTCTAGCCCCAGAAGTGCTGATTTCAGGACTTTGAAAAGTTCCCTGAACGATTCTGGTGCACAGCCAAGGTCAAGAACCACGGTGTTAGCATCTCCACTTTTTTGTTAAAAGAAAAAAGTATTGGCCTTGTCTAAGTTCAGCCTTCTCTGGCGTCATCTCCAGAGGGAAGCAGCTCTCGACACAGAGTAAGGAGAAACGTGCGGGACCAGAAGGCAGGAGGCATGAGTTGAACTCTGCCTCCAGCTGTGTATCTCTTTATGACGTTTCAGTCCATGGGCTGCATACGTGAGAGTGGTCCCATGAGATCATAGTAGAGTTGAAAACTTTCTATCATCGAGTGACGTAGCCATTGCAACACTGCAGGGCAACGCTTTGTTGGGTGTTTGTGGTGATGCTGGTGTAAACAAGCCCACTGCCCTGCCGGGTGTGCAAAACTCTGGCACAGACAACTCTGTACAGCAGAGAGCACTTGGTCATGACAAGAAGTGACTGTGCTGCTGGTTTATGTGTTTAGAATACCATCCCTTTCATCATTATTTTAGAATGTACTCCTTCTACTAATAATTAAAATCAAGTTAATTGCAGAGCAGCCTCAGGCAAGTCTTTCAGGAGGAATTCCAAAAGAAGGTGTCGTTGTCACGGGAGATGACGGCTCCACGCATGTCACTGCCCTGAAGACCTTGCAGTGGGACAAGAGGGGTCGACGGTGATGTTGACGGTCCTGGCCCCGTGTAGGTCAAGGCTCATGTGTGGGTTTGTGTCTTCATTTTTAAAAAAAAGTGTAAAAGGTAAAAAAAGAAAAAGTTTTAAAAACAGAAAAAAAATGTAGAGAATAAGGATATGAAGAAAGAAAATATTTTTGTATGACTACATAATGTGTTTATGTTTTATTTTATTTTATAGATGTGGGTTACAATTCAGGAGTGTTTGTGTTTTAAACTGTTATTACAAGTCAAAAGTTAAAAAAGTAAATTTATAAAATAAAAAAGTTACTGTAAGCTAAGGTTAACTTTTGATGAAAAAGACAAATATATTTTATGAACGTGGTGTAGCCTAAGCGTCCACGGTTTCTGAAGTCTACAGGGCTGCACATCGTGTCCGAGGCCTTCATACTCACTCTCCACCAGCCATCGCCCACCCAGGGCAACTTCCGTCCTGCAAGCCCCGTTCGTGGTAAGTGTCCTAGATGGGTGAGCCATTTTTCACCTTTTCTTCCATATTTGTACTGTTCCTGGTCTGTGTGTAGACACACAAACACTTCGCAGGGAGTTATAGCCGCCTGCAGTCCTCAGGCGCTCTGTGCAGGCCTGGAGCCAGGAACAGCTGGTTGCACCACAGCCCAGGTGGGCAGGAGGCTGTGTGGTCCAGGTGTGTGTACGTGCATGCCACAGTGTCTGCACGGCGATAAAGTCGTCTACACGTGGTTGAGGGACGCATGACTGGATTTCTATGCAGTGTGAGATCTTGGACAAGTAACCTCTTCTCCCTGAGGTCTATCTAGAAAACCGTGGGTGGGCCTGGAGGGTCCTCCAGAACTAACGTTCTCTGAATTCATGGCCCTGTCAGTCCTGCATCCAACGGGCCAGTCGAATGATGATCTGTCTAGAGTGAAGTTTGATTCCAGACAAGCTGGGCCACAGACTACCAACAGCAAGTACTTTCTAAGGAGAGGCCAAGGGAGGGGACAGAGAGGAGTGATGTCAAAAAGATGGAGAAACCCTGCAGCGATGAGGCTGTGTGAAAAACAACTGCATCTTAACAACTGTGTCCTGCAGACAGATCCGCATAAGCCCAAGACGCTGCGTGTTCAACGATGTTCACTGGAGAGCTAATGGCCCCAAAGTGTAAAGGCCTATTTTATCCATGACTCGGGAAGAAACACAATCCAGAGTAACCCCTCCCCGTCTCCACCCAACTTTGGTTCCCTGTATCGCAGTCATCCCTGACACTGATCCTGTGTGTTTCATCTGTTCCTTTGTTTATTTTTGTATCTTCCCAAGCCCCACCCCACTCCCAACCAGCATGTCATCTCCACGAGAGAAGGGTGCAGTCTTGTTCATGACTTTACCTCCAGGATATAGAACAGGGTCTTCTTCATATTCATTGAATGAATGAATGAGTGCACGAATATTACATTCACTCAAGAAAAATGCTATGCAGTCACTACAAAGAATGGAGAGGGCCTATGTATACTGATCTGGGAAAAGGTCCAACATATCTTAAGTAAAGCCAAAAAAAAAAATCAAAACAGAGATGGGGAAATTTGATTTCTTTCTTTATGCAAGTTTTTAGGATTTTTCTATGTTTTAGTTTTTTTAATGAAATGTTTTACAATTAATTTATTTTTAGTTAATTAATAAAAAATGAGTGCAAGAGAGCAAACCACACAGAGTCGCACTGCTAGAAATGTCGATGAAAAGCATCGACTGTCACTGCAGTGAATGCGTCCTACTTCCTGCAACTCAGGGTTGCTACCCTCTGACTCTTTGTTCAAGTTCCCCGGCTCTCAAGTTCCAGCCCAAGCCTTCCCTCCTCCTTGTTGCCTCCTGAAAAGAAACCTGATCTGTATCTCTGACCTTGGTCTACGGGGTACAGGACACACCCAAGGTGTGCAGTAGACTGGCCGAAGGAATGCACGCGTTGGGAACGAACCCTCCTCCAATCTCTGGTCCCCAGAAATGCTCCCTCTCCTTCATTACTCACACTCTCTATTTTTGCGTTCCCCAGACTGGGCCCCACAGAACATTATTAGCTCTGTAGGGTTTTCCGTAGGGGAAAATAAGGTGTGATGAAGGTTTAGTAATTGCCATTAAAGATACAGCTTAAACAGCTTTTTTGCTTCCGAAATTCTCAGAGCTGTGGACGAGCTGATGAGATTTGTGAAACTCAGGGGCTAGAGAAGGGGCCAGGTACCATTTCTCAAGCTCATGTGAACACGTGGCCCGTGTCCTGAGGAAGGCATATCGCAACCTCCCGAGACAACAGTGACCTCCAAAAAAATGTTGAAAACGTAAAATTAAACCGTCCTGTGATAGGTTTCTGTCAGTGAGTCTAACCATCTTGCGGTGGCTGTGTGTCAGTGAGTCTGAACCACTCTGCAGTGGGTGTTTACCAGTGAGTCTAAACCATCTTGTGACGGGTGTTTGTCAGAGAGTTTAAGCCATCCTAGGATGGGCGTTTACCAGTAGAGACCACCCGGCACTGTCAGCGACTCTTACAGACACGTCTTTCCACCTAGACTGACTTCCTTGAGGGCAGAGACTGTGATTCTGTCACAGCATCCCTGGCACATGGTGGCTGTGGGGATGACAAGACGAGGACCGATGGCGGGAACCTGAGAACCCCATGACGGGAGAACACGTTGACCTTCCTTAGCGCTAAAGAACAAGTGGTTTGAATCTAGTGCTTCATTTAGGCTTCCTCAAAAGGATGCAGGCAATGGAAGCAGAGAGCTGATGTAAGGCAGGAGTTTTACCAGTGGTTGCAACTACACAAATCACGTCCAAGGTCAGGAGGTAAAAACAACTCTCTGAGCCCTTGGGGTTCACACAGTTGCTTTGGTTGGGCATTAAATTTGGCCCTGAGCTTCCCGGCACTCAGGCCAAAAAGTTTCCTAATTAAAGTCTTGTTCCCTCATTATCAGAAAGGGGAAGCCCAGAGGAGATGACGTCTTTCTTGGAAATACATCCAAAATGAACTTGCGACTGGCTGTACAGCTGAGGCACAGCCACGGGGGAGAATTTACAGGAACGCTGCCCTGTTCCACGCTGGTTCTTCCCTGTCTTGCCTGCAAGTTTCCTGCTTTCATCCTAAGTGGTTCCCGTTCCTGCCAGATGAAATGATACAGAGTGGTCCTATTTGCCCAGAAAAGCCAGGAAACGTCCATGTTACCAACCCAACTTGAACTGTGTTCCCCTCAAATTCCCATGTTGAGCCCTTGACTCCTAAGGTGAGTGTATTTGGAGATACGCCTTTAAGGAGGTAACTAAGGCTAATGAAGTCGTAGAGATTGGACCCTGATCTGACAGGGCCAGTGTCCTTACAAGAAGAGCAGGAGACACCAGGGCTCCCTCCCCCCTCTGTGTGCACGGAGGAAAGGACACACGAGGCCACAGCAGGAAGGCGGCTGTCCACCAGCCAGCAAGAGAGGCCTCACCAGAAACCAGCCCTGATGGCACCTTGGCTGTAGATGTCTAGTGTTCAGAACTGTGGGAAACACACAACTGTTGATCAAGCCCCCAGGCTGCTCTGTTCTGTGATGGCAGAACGAGCAGACCAACACAGCCCCTCGGAGCAACCTTGACTCACCGCCACGACATACACCCTGATCAGGACGTTGACAGGGTGGTTGGGTGGAATCCCCTGCTGGATCCTCAGCTGCCCGCTGTCCTCGGAGCCAGAGTCCTCGAGGCTTTTGTAAATGCAGAAGGAGCCCTGGAACCACAAAGTAAGACGGTGGCACGTTCCCCCACAGCCACAGAGAGCGCAGCGCTGGGCACACCAGCACCACCTGAGACTCAGCAGGACCTGGGGGCACTACCCTTGCCAGCGGGCTGTCCTCGGGCGACGCATGTGTCTGCTTGTCTCCAAGATCCTCCTGGCACATTGGTCATCGTGTTGCACATGGACACCCGCCTCACAGGACACCCCGTGAGGGGACACCGAGGGCGTCTTCCAAGCAGGGGCCGTGGAAGTACTTCCCTGTGATCTCACCCAACCTGATTGTAGGATCCCTATTTCCAGGCACGACAACTGTGGCTCAGGGAGGAGAAGTGCACTGTGTCAGGTCATATAGCTTGTGAGTACGACAGCCAGGATTTCAATCCAGGTCAGCAAACTGCAGGGCCCATGTTGATTCCACACTCCTTGCTGCATACAAGGAACGGTGTGCAGTAGGTTTACGGTAAAGACTGGCTCCTGCTTTGTGACACTGACATGGCAGTTCCATCAGTGGAAGACCTTGTGCCATCTGATTGACTTAAGTGTCCTATGGTGGGCTTGCATGCAACACATGTATGGTGTGTCGGGGCGGAGACAGCAAAGTAAAGTTAAATATTATAGGTATAAATATAACATCCCACCAGACTCAGCGCCAATGTGTTGGTCATAACTCAATAATATCTGAGAAGCCTGGGGCTAGGTTTTGTTGGGTTGCAGAGAGGGTCTTGAGAAAAGACTAAGGGTTTTCTTCACACGCATCCCACACCACAATTCCGTGAACAGAAATGAGTCGTGTCTGATGTTTACGGACAGGAAGAGCCAGAAAAAGATGCTAACAATGGAACCTGCCTTAAATTTTCCCACGACTCGGTCTCCATCAAGACCATGGTCGTCTTCTGTAGATTTGCCTCTGAAGAGCTCAAAGGTCTTCACCCAGTCTTCAAAATTGTTGAATTCGCTCTCGAGCTCGCCGTCATATATCTTTGGGAAAAGGGAGAAGATTGTGCTGAGAGAAAGGAAGCCCATGGCTGAGAAATGCCAAGATTCTCCAAAACCAGCCTTGATATATGCCCCTTGGAAAGACCCAAGAGACCACTGATAATTAATCTTCAGCAAAATAAGAAATAGGGGCTGGCTCGGCATTCATGGAAATGACTGCTACTCTGAATTTTATGACACATTTTCATAAACTTTTAAATTCCAAAAAGTATAGCTAAACCAAACAAAATTAAATATACAGTTATAAATACAACTAACTTTTTATAACTAATTGATGTCATTGGTTGTTGGATATAGACTGTAACATTTTGAGGAGATTCAATTCCACAATGTTCATTAAACATCTAATTTTTTTTTTTTTTGAATTGGAGTCTCACTCCGTTACCCAGGCTAGAGTGCAGTATCACACTTACGGCCACCCCAGCATCAACCTGGTGGGCTCTGGCGATCCTTCCGCCTCAGCCTTCCAAGTAGCCGGAACTACAGGTGTGCACTACCACACCTGGCTAATTTTTTTTTTTGTAAAGATGAAGTCTTGCCAAGTTGTCCAGGCTGGTCTCGAACCCTCAGACTCGGGCAATCCACTTGCCTTGGCCTCCCAAAGTGCTGGGATGACAGACTGAGCCAACAAGTCCAGCCAAACATCTAATTCTTAACACATATAAAGTGATGGAATATTTATCTTGATTGGAACGCAGAAAGACAGGAATTTTCCAATTGGGAAATTATACATACACTTTAGAAATGCAAAGTCGAGTTGAATTTTAGGCCTGGTAATATAATTAAATTGCTTATTCAACTTTCCTATTAAAATTACTTGCCCAAATTGGTTATCTCCGCATGTAATTTTCACACTCCAAATTTTCACATCCGTCAATCTGTCCCTAGCTAATGCCCTCTACTAATGTTAAGAGTGGTCTGATGGAGATGCCTCTAGTTGTAGTTAAGGCTCCTGCTATTCTGAGTGTGAACACAGCAGCGTGAGGATGTCAGCTCCTAGGGGCGAGCCAGGGGACCTCAAATACTGCAAATAACTTTGTTGGGTCCAATCTAAACAGTGCAAGCTGTGTCCCGTCTCAATATGAGGATACAGGAAACAGAAAATGAACAAGCGCCCTTGCCTTGTTTACGTAAGTATCAAATTTTTCTTCTCCGCATCAATGATTATCATGAAGACAAAGCGAAGTCAATCAGACAAAGGCATCGCTTGGGTTGACCAAGCACTAACAGAGCCCGCTGCTGAGCTGCCCACCCCATCCTCGGCAGAGACGCCGGTGGTCACACACCTGCAAGATGGCCAGGTTGGGGATTCCATCATCTCTGATTTTCTTCTTGAGCATTTTGTCTTTCTTCTTCTTTGGGCCATCTTCCATGTCTACCACGACCTCACCTGGTGTTGCCTCTGTGGAGAGTCAGTAGAAATTAGATTTCTCAAGACAGTTGAGATAAGAAGGAACAAAGCCAAGCGCCTTCCTTCCCTTTGCCATGGCATGTGTCATAAGCCATGACCCTTCTTTTTAAAAAGAGATAGCAACTTTTTGGGCGGGACTGCTATGTGTGGCCTGTACACCGCATGCGTGTGTGAGGGCACCATTTGGAGGATCTCCCAGGGCTGAGCAGTGTGTGGGCCTGTCCCAGTTTATGTCAGAACAAATTAATCGAGGCATGGAGAGAGTGAGTGATTCACCCATTCACCCAACCAGCAAAGAACAGGCCCAGGTCTGGACGGACTCCAAGGCTTTGCGTTTCATGCCCTCTCAAACCTGTTTAGGGACCTGAGATTCATGCAGATGAACATGAAGCCCAAGCGTGCCAAGGGTCTCACACAAGTCAAGCTGTGTGATGACCTAGCAATGCTTCAGCAGCAGGCCCTGGGGTAGGGGGAACTGCCAGAGATAAACTGCCATTTTCTAGCTGTGTGAATTTGGACAAGTTACATGCTCCATCATCTGCAAGGTGAAAATACTGCTGCCTATGACGTGGGGTGATCTTAGAATTAAATGGGCTAATTCGGAGTGGTCTGCGGAATGGAGCTTTGGCTGGTGTTCCTACTTCTGTCAGGGTCAAAGGAAACACCATTGGCTGCGTGGTGCTATGGTCGTACTGAAGCCGAGACCCACCGTAAGCTTGAATCGAGTGTGCGGCTATTTCAAACCCCAGGCTTCTTTCCTTGAGCTGCTGCCAAGCCAGATCTACCCAATCCTTGCAGACCAAGCTCTGGAACCTCAATCCAGGTCTTACTCACACTCACCTCGAGTCAAGCCTACCGGTCGGTTTTGGCCAGCCCGTGCTGGCTTGCTTCTATTTTATTCCCCCCACTGTTTCTACAGTAAAATCGACAGAGGGACTCGAACCAGGATGTCGATTCCAGCATGGAACTGGAGTGGGGGAACCGGGATCTGGCTACAGTCCAGGTCACGCAGCCACACGATCTTTGCAAAGGGCTGTCGTCTGCAGAGATGTCTTCTTCACGTGGGACAGGAGGGGGTTGGACTCCAGGACACTTTCCTCCCCCACCCGCCGGCTTCCAGCTTGTAATTTTCTCACTGCCATGGCCCTATTCTATGTCCACATGTCCCCAGAGCCCCACTTACCTGCTCCGCCTTTTTTCTCCTTGAGGGTTTTCTCCTTTGCCTTTGAAAGCGAGAGAGACAAGATGGTTGACACCGCCGTGCCTGGTTTACTCATCCTGACTGTTAACCATTCTGATTCAATGATCCCAGCCCTCTCCATCCTCAGACACACCATTTTAAAAGAGTGTCCAAACAGTCCCCAAGCCGTCCCCCAAATGAAACCTCAGTGCAAAGACCCAGGGACTGGGCGCTGTGGAATGCCCGGCTCTAGAGAAAGGAGGCCACACATCCAAGAGAAGTGCCACCAAGCCACAAACAGCCTTGCCCCTGGGTGCGGTCCCTTCTCAGCCATGGAGAGCAAACCCTCACCCACTCTTTTTCCACCTCCCAGGCACACCCCCGTCTGCACTACGAGTTCTGCCTGCTGGCATGATGGGTCCTCGGGGTGGTACCAGGAATTGGGGAGGTCAACTGAGAAAGGGGAGGGGTGGTGTTCATTGAAGGAAAAGGAGGCTGGAGGCAGGGACTGACACTTGCTTTGGGTGTTTACTGTACACCCATACTTGTGAAACAGTCCTAGGGGAAGACATGGTCTTTCCAGACTAAGGAGCCAGAAGGGTTTCTAGTCCGTTGAATATGAAGATCTCGTCTGACCGCTTGCTCCTTCCTTCTGTACTTGGGGGTGCGGAATCTAACCAACGCAGTCATCGAGCTTGGGTTGATTTTCCACAACCCCCTCTGTGGGTTCTCCCTCCGTGTACCTCGCCCTTGTCTTACACGTGTGCACAAGGCCCTGCCCATGCTCTGGCAACGCTTTGTTGGGGCCAAGACCCCTGCCTTGACTTTGACAACTTCCCACGCAAACTCGGAATCCCACTGGAGACCCGGGTAACTCCACGGGCACCTGGAGCCTCATCATCAGACACCACATGTCCAGAGACCCACATCTCCTTGTTGGGCCCCCCGAGTCTGACTGGGGGAGGCCCCTCCAGCAGCTATGTTGGGCTGGAGATTTGTGCGGCACTGGCAACACAGCTCATCAGCCTGGGTCCCAGCACCAGCTACAACCTGAAGGGCATTTCATAATTCGAGATACTGGTTCTCCCAGGCTTTTTGCCCTTCTGTGGTGAACAGAACCACCCCCAAGTAGGGCCTCTGCATAGTGAAATTTAGAGGGGGTTATGCGGATTTGGGGTGGGAGGAGATGATGTGTCTTTCTGCCGAGGCCCTCGCTGCCACCGCCACAAGACACCCCACCTTCTGTGCTTTCTTCAGGGACGCATAATACTTGGACCACCAGTCAATGACGTTTTCAGCAGACTCATCTGCGATGGTCCGCTTTCTCCTTTTAGTGGACCTCCGGGAAGGCTTCCTGGCATCCTGGCAAGGATGAGGGGAGGGTGATCAGTCAGGCCCCATTTGGCTGCATGCAGGTGGTGGCCTGGTTTCCCGGGAAGAGAACACAGAGGTACCCACTGAGAGGTAGACGGAGGCTGATTTTGTGGTAGTAGCTCTCTGCAACACTTTAGTACACACAACTTTTATACTCTATTCATCCATTCATTTATTAAGCAGCTTTCTTTCTTTTTTTTTTTTTATTTTGAGCTGGAGTCTCACTCTGTCACCCAGGCTGGAGTGCAATGGTATGCTCATGACCACCACCTCCTCAACCCTCTGGGCTCAGGTGGTCCTTCCACCTTGGCCTTCCAAGCAGCTGGGATTACAGGCGTGGGCCACCATGCCTGGCTAATTTTTTGATTTATTGTAGAGATGAGGTCTCATCACGTTGCCCAGGCTGGTGTGGAACTCCTGGGCTCAGGCAGTCCTCCCACCTCTGCCTCTCAAAGTGCTGGGATGACAGGAGTGAGCCACCACACAGGGCCTCAGCAAACATTTGTTAAGCAGATGTGCGCCATTGTGCTTGGCCCTGAGGGTGTGTGGGGAAATTAGGCACCACCCCACACTAGGTGCTTGGAGTTTAGCAGAAGACACAGGCAGACAAGTAAGCGCCCGATCATCTGATACTGACACAGAGCAGAAAGGGCTCTCACCTCAGACAACCATAGGCCACACATCGTTATGTAATTAACAGATATTTTGTAAGTCTCAGCTTCCTCATCTAGGGACAACAATACCTGACTACTTCCCTGCTGTGAGGCTTAAGCGACACAGCTCGCAATTTTTCTGATTTGAACGGGGGCAAATAAACAACACCCACGACAGGAGTGACGGGCGGCAGGAGAGGCCATGACGCACGGGTGGCAGACGGGGACACTCGTGGGAGAAGACAGTGGTCCCACGGAGCCCAAACGTGCAAGGCTCATCATGCATCCCCCACCCGCCCGTCTCTCAGACATCTCCCGAGCCCTCCTATGCGCCAGCACGCTCTTGAGAGTGGGGAAACAGAGTGGCCGAGAAGCTGTCTCTGCCCTGCTGGGGCTCACGGCTGTGTGGTGATGGCAAACCCAGAAACAGAGTTCCGGTGGGAAGTGGCAGGTTTAAGGCTGGGGAGAGAACCCGGGAGGGTCCTCAGAGGGTCCCTGTGCGTGGAAGAGATGGAGCGACTGGGGGGGGGGGCACATCCAGCCATCGATCTCACCCTGCTTCTCATTTCAGCCTCTGCCATTCCCTGGGCAGGCAGTTCCTTAGGACTTTCTTAAAGGGCCTTCTCCTGTAACTCAACCCCCAAACCAGGACTTTGCAAACGGATTTGTGACTTAGGAAGATCAACCATAGATCCTTGTTTCATTGTTCTGTGTAGCCTTGCCTATCTTGCCTTCCAGAGTCTCAGCCAACTGAAGATGACAGGTCTCCTCTTTAGAACACCAAAGATGCCTCTTTTTGGTCCTGTATGACCTTGAACAAAACAGGCTCTAAATATTCGTAGAATGGGCCTGAAATAAGAAGCCAAGCTAATGAGCTCAGAATAGTTTCCGTCTAATTAAATATCACCGTCACGTTTGATTGAGTGCTTTAATTTCATGCACATTGACTTTCTGATTCTATAACAAGGCTGTGAAGTGGGTATCAATAGCCCCATCTTACAAGGGATGAGCTGACACTCAGAAATGGGACATTGTCGTAGGCTGGGTGTGGTGGTTCTTGCCTGTAATCCCAGCACTTTGGGAGGTTGAAGCAGGAGGATTGCTTGAGCCCAGGAGTTTGAGACCATTCTGGGCAATATAGTGAGAACTCATCTCTTTGAGAGAGAGAGACAGAGAGAGAGAGAGAGTTTCTTGCCAGTAGTCAATACTGTTGGTAGGAGGGAAAGTTTGTGTCTAGAGCCCCAGGGCAAACTCCAGTAAGCCTGTAAACAGGAAGAGAGACACAATCTGACCTTCACTTTTCCGTCTCTTGGTGACTCCTGGGCTGCAGGTTTGTGCTCAGGCTCTAGCACTGGGGAGGAGTCAGGGATGTCAACCAGGACAGCCGGCCGGGCCTGGGCAGAGTCGGGTACCACTGTGGCTGGCGGCTCAACATCCACATAGATGTGATCAGTTGGGAGGTCCTGGGAGGCGTTGAGGGGTTCAGAAGACTCGGTGGCTGTGAGTGCATCTGGAATCGTGGACGTGACAGCACGTAGGTCAGGGGGCTGGGCTGCAGTGCGGGGTGTCACTCAGGGACCGACGACTAGGGGGTCAGACAGACCTGGGTTCACATACGGCAAGTTACGTCTCTGAACCTCATTTTCCTTGCTTGCCAAATCATAGTAAAAACACCCATTGCAGGCTGGGTGCGGTGGCTCACACCTATAATCCCAGCACTTTAAGAGGTCGAGGTGAGAGGATTGCCTGAGCCCAGGGGTTCGAGACCAGCCTGGGCAACTTGGCAAGACCTCATTTCTACAGTACATCAGAAAATTAGCCAGGTGTGATGGTGCACACCTGTAATTCCATCTACTTGGAAGGCTGAAGCAGAATGATCACCTGAGCCCAGCAGGTCGAAGCTGCGGTGGCCGTGAATAGCGTGCCACTGCACTCCAGCCTGGGTGACACAGTGAGACTCTAAGAAAAACAAACAAAAAACACCCATTGCATGGAAGGTGAAGCAAGATCATGATGGAACGCATCTGGTGCGCAAGATGGCGTCAGTAAATGATTGTATTTGTCATCGATCCCTCAGAGCAATTTTAATCAATTGTGGTCCCCGGTATCTAGAGCATCGATGTTCAGGGCACAGGTTTTCTGTGTTGATTGTCTCCCCCAGTGTGTTAATATGGGGAGACTTTGGAGCTCCACAGGGCTGTAAATCCCCTTACAACCCCCAAGGATAGGCAGAATTCTGAGCATCTGAGTTCACATGCTTGGCAGGGAGCAGGGTTATACCCTGGGCTTTACGAGATTCTTAACTGGGCTGTTGATACCACAAGAAGGTATAACACTGTCCTTCGCTGCCTAAGGTTCTCACCTCTTCAATCTGTGCTGTAAGCTTCAATACTTAGAAACATTCCCCAGTGGGGGTCCCCCATCCCTGCTGTAGCCCCTAGAGTTTCTCTCTTCTTCAGATGCTGACTTTTCAACAGCAAATTCAACCCAACAAACTCCTACAGGCATCTACTCTGTGCAGGGCACAGAGACAAATAAACCAGTGGGACAGACTTGAAAACTCAGAAACAGGACATTTGTGGCACCAGATGAGGACATTCATGAGGAAGATGCAAGTACAAAGCACGGGGACAGGAATGAGTGGTTAGCAGACCCTTCAGGGGAAAGTGGTACACTATACCGGGAGAAATGCAGGCGGATTCCTACTCCAGACTCTGCATAAATGCTGGTGAACTAAAGATCTCAATATGAAACTAAAACCCTAGAACTGATAGAAGAAAACGTCTTTATGACTGAGGGGTGAGAAAGGGTTTCTTAACCAAGACTTCAAAAGTACAAACCATAAAGTGTAGGACACAGATGGGTCTGAGTATATCGCTGAGGATTTCTGCTCAAAAACGGGGACTGCAGATGAGGTTAGCAGTTGTCCCTCTAGGAAAAGCTAGGCAGAGGGGACTGCGGACGCCAGCTTGTGGAAGATAAGCCTAACCCATGGCTGTGGCATCCTGGAGCCAGTCCCAGCAGGCACCTGCAGGTGCCATGACCCAGAGTCTCGGAACCACCTCCTACCTGGCCCGGGTGGGCTCCTGTCCTCCTGTGGGCCGAGGGCCGGGGGCTCCCTGGGTTTGCACAGGAATTGCTTGAGACAGTTGACGGTGTAGGTGCCCACCAGTGTGCTCCTGCCAAAGGCGCGCCAGTCCACCACGCAGAGGCTCAGGGGCGGGTGCAACAGCTCGTTCTCCGGCAGCTCCTGTGGGGAAGTTGGTGACTCGGGGCTCCGCCAGTCTGGGTCTGACCGCTCGGGATGGCCAGCCCGTCCTTGGCGGACCCAGAGCAAGCCAGGTTCCCCACGCCCCTTCCCCTGCTGCCACCCAGTCCCACCTAGCCTGCCCAGTGTCCTGCCAACACTGGGAGCAATGTCTTCCCACGCCAGGGAGAAACCACCCAGACTGTGAGGGGCGTCTCCATGACAGCCGATCCTGGGGTCAAGTGGCAGACATCCCTGCTTCCTCCCACCCCAGCATCGCCTCCAGACCTCTCATCTCAGGTGACCACTTCCCCTGGCCCAGGGAGAACAGCAGAAAAGAGCAAGCCCTTGACCATAGTGCTTGGAGGAGGGGCAGGGCCCTGGCACTCATCTCCCCTGGTGGCCCCAAGGCTCAATGGAGCGTGATACAAAAGGTTTGCAAACACCACGGGCATTCTTCCGCTGTGGTCTTGGCTCATTTAGAATGCGTGTTCAGTGGAGCTGGCCGGGTTGGACAAATCAATTTTTCCTTCCCAGTTAGAGCACCAAAAAAGTGTGTTGAAATAAACAAAAGCACAGGTGCCAAAAACATCATTTTAGAAGGATCAGTTCACGTGTAAATTAACATTTTAAATACAAGTAATTTTTCAAAACTCAACCACGAGGGTAAGCTTCACGAGACGAACTTCTAGACCAGCAGCCTACAACGTCAGCGCAGGGGAGGGCTCGCCAAACCAGAGACAGCTACACCCCCGCCCCCAACAGTGTCTGGCTCAGTGGCGTAATGGCCGAGCCTGGGAATGAGCATCTCTAACAAGGTCCCAGGCGATGCTGGTGTCGATGACCCAGAGGCCACACTTTGGAAACCACTGTTCTGGGCAGAAGCTTGTCATTGTACTTTGATGGACTATGAGATCTGCACCAGGAAATGTTTGAATAAAGTCGACCAAAACAACAAAACTCATCCCAATCGCATCCTGAAATTCTGGCTTTTCACTGAGTGAGACTGTTCTCTCTTGCAGGCAGCAGACACCAGAGCCCCAGACACCTCTTAAGCCCTGCAAATGGGGCCCAGGTGAAGGGGGGTGGGGACCCAGCAGGCAGGGGCAGCACGTACCACTTCGAAGGCATCAGCCTGCACGCTGAAGTTTGGGTTGTTCTTGTAGCTCTGGATCACACAGGACTTCACTCCGCGGCCCCCACACTCGACCAGCACCTGCGGCCGGTCCACCGACAGGAGCTGCACCTTCTTCATCTCCCGGACTCCCCAGAAGAGCACCTGAGGGGCCAGCAGAGCTGTCACCGAAGACCACGGAGGGGCCCAAGCCATTGGGTCTGGAGGGGGAAGCCAGACGCACCCAAGGGCCGCACGATGCTCTTGAAGGAAGGACAGCACCCATCTGGCTGCCGTGAGCTGGGTGGAGTTTTCTCTGGGTCTGCTTCCCCTCCCACCACACCCCTCCATGAGCCATGCGGGGCCATGGCCCTTGAGCCCGAGAGACCAGCGCAGATCCCCGAGTCCCTTGAACCCACCTCCACTCGGTACTTGCTCAACACCGGCCGGATGTTGGCAGGCACCGGATAGATCTGGGCGACATCTGGCGGGTCGACAGGAGGGAGCCCTTGCGGCCCAGATGCAGGGACCTGCCAGGCAGGACGAGCACAGGTTAGAAGGAAGATGACCGCGCCACACGGTTACTTCGTCAGTGAGACGGCCGCTGTCCCGTCACCAGGCCACATTTCCAGCTTAAAATGCAACAAGGGCATGAGCTACTGATTAATTGATAAATACATTCATTGACAAGGGCAGCCAACATGTCGTGAGCACTTATGCTGCGCCACAGGTTGGGGAGAGAGCCTCTGGTGAGCTCACAGCATGGGGAGGAGAAGACAGATAAGCAGGGACAGAGAGCCCCGCAGTGAGCAGGGGAGGGCCCACGCAGATGCTGAACCTTCAAGTCTTAACCCTCTTTCCTTCCGACTTCCCAAGATCCCCAGAAGAGCCGTCGTGCACGGCTACCAAACGAGATTTGGATTTAATCCCACCGAGACTACGTCTTAGTGAAACAGAAAACAAGGTCTGGGGAAGGCGGAGCCCAGGGTGGAAGCGTGTCCCCTCTCGGGACCTTGGGGCCAAGGAAGCTCGAAAGCAGCTGCTGGACTCTGCTGGACTCCTACCCCAAGGGCTCCCCGCGTCCTACTCAGGAGAAGGTCCCCTCCCTGCGGGCCATTCCCACTGCCCTCAGGCCTGGTCGGCCCATACGCCTTTCAGACAGGCCCTGATCCTAGCTACCAGGGCCGTCCTCCTCTCCTCGACATCCTTTGTGTGCAGTGTCCTCTATGTAGGCCTAGTACAGAAATTAGGGGGGTGGAGTCTGAAACCAGCTCTGCCGCATGACCTGCAAAGATCACTCTGTCTGAGCCTGAGCTACAGTGCCGGACCACCCTCAAGCCCCTCGGGGATCAGATGTTTATGAACTTGGCTTCAGTGCGGGGGTCCTCCTTGCAGGCTGTGTGTCCACCTGAAAGGTCTGTGGGGCGTCGGCCAGAAGTCTCTCTGCTTTGCCCCTCCTTCGGCCCCCCAGCGCACCCCCACAGTGACCTCCTGACACAGGCCAGCCAGTCGATGGACACACCAGCTCCCCATGCTGGAGAAAGCCCGATGGCCCGCCAGGACCTGCAGAGCGTGCACGTCACAGTGTTCTTCGTGGGCAGACGCGTTCCAGTCTGTGAAGGCAGACGCGAGGAAGCAGATGACCAGAAAGCTCCAGAGAGGGAGAGCCGACACCGTAGATGTGAAGCCGGCCTGAGACAACGGTGCTGCGGCAGCACCAGCCCAGAGAGAGGCTGGGAGGGACAGGGTGAGCACCAATGGCCGCCAGGAGCCTAAGGCACCACCTCACGGGAACGCCAGGGGCTCCCCTGACTTCAAAGGTGAAACCACAAAACCACAGGGATGCACAGGCCAGGTTGCCTCTGGACGTGCTTTGAAAACAGCCTTGCGTTTCCTGATCCTGGGCTGTCGTGGTGTCAGCCTGGGACAGGCCCAAAGACGCCTTGCTCCTGGAGGGCCCACATATGCTTCCTGGCCTTCCACGCTGCCCTGGAAGGTCCCACTCATGGCAGAGGCAGGACGACCTTGCTGCTAGCCAAGACTGAGGTTTTCAGTGAAATGGGTTGGTTGCTGACTGCGAATCCATGGGGTATGCAGTCCCTCAGCGCTCGGAGGCAGTGGAAATACGGGGCCGTGTTATGAAAGTAAAAGAGTAAGAATTGCAGGTGAGTGGGATATGCTGGGTTGGGAGCCAGACTGCTCTCTCATCCCAGGGGAGATAAATCAGCACCTCAAGGCAGGTCGAGTTTCTGGGTGGGGACCAGGCTGGACAGGTGAGGCATGTAGGGGGCAAAACTCAGGGGGACACTCACTCCTGGGCAGCTATGACCCTGGTTCCAGCCCTGTCCCTCTGAAAGCTCCCCAGTGCCTTCTCTCTCTGTCTCACTTGGTCTACCATGTATACACCTATTACATCGTCTTCGGTGCAGCAGGTAGTGTCCCATCTTGGGCTCCATAAATGACTAGCTGTGTGAGCTTGGAAAGGTTACTGTGTCTCTGAGCCTCCGTTCTACTGTGGAAAACGAAGATGGTGAATCTAGTTCACAGAGTTGCTGAGACAGCGTGTAAGGCACTTGGCATACTTTCTGCACACAAGACATTTCTTAGGAGTAAAGATAAATGAAATCACTGACCCTGGCACAGATACAAGCTCAACTTCAAATCATCTTAATCTTTAACTGGATGTGGATGACCCAGGATGGCTAGTGGCCCCAAACTATGCCAGAAGTGAATTTAATCCTCTGGAGAAAAATGATACCAGCTTGGGCTTGATTTTTTTCCTAAACATTTTTATGTAAAAGTATCTACCATGCAATGAAGTATGGCATGCATGGCGATAAGATAATGTGATTAAAAAACCAAAAGAAAAAATAACCAAAGAAAGAGATCCGTAGCGATTCAGATTATGTAGTAACCAGACAGGAACTTTAAAGTAACAGTGCTTAATCTGTTCTGTAAGAAACCAGATTAAGAATTCCAACAAATGGAACCTATGCTAAAAAAGAAGAAATGGAAATTCTATGACTGAAAATGTAGTCACCGAAAAGAAGAACATAGTGAATGGGTTTTATTTAAAAGTCAGGTTCTGTTAAAGGCAGGCAAACTGAACTGGAAGATACCACTGTTATGGTATTATGGGTAAAATACAGCTCAGAGAGACAAAAGGAGAGGAGAATGTCAAAGAACGAGAAGCATCAAGGAGAGAATTAAAAGGTCTAACACACGTGTGATTGGAGTCACAGAGGAAGAGAGGAAGGAAGTGAGGTGAGAAGAGGAGGAAAGAGGAGAAGAGAGGAGGGGACGGCAGGGCAGAGGTAAAGCTTGGAGAGACGATGGCCGGCCGATACTCTTCCAACCCTAATTAAAAACATCAGGCCACGTTTTTAAAAGCTCTACAAAACCCAACAGGCTAAAGACAAAGAAAATTGCACTTTAAGGCAGCATGATAAAACTGCCAAAAACCCAAATAAAGATACCTTAAAAACAAAGATGCAACAATAAGGACGCTAACCCACTCACCAACAGAGAAAGAGCAGAGTCTCTGCCTGAAGTTTCTAGTGATATGTAAGGATCAGCCTGCTCCCTCCCTGAGCCCTCACCAGCCGATTGGTAAGTGTATGGCGTCTGCAGAGTCGTGCTCAGTAGACTGTTAATGAACAACTCTCTGTCTTTAAAACAGGGAGGAAAATCACACAGAGATGCTGTCGGCAGCTAATCCAATCTCCTAATTCTGACTTCCAATGAGTGCCAAGCATGAGAGAAGAATATCTTTTTTTTTGTAAGCCAATAGAACTTAAGTTGAATCTGTGCCAGAAAGACAAAGAAGATGAAACACGTGTGCAAAAATCAGAGAAAGCTGCTGTGATAGTAAGAGAAAGATTCCTAGAAAGCTGAAAGACAGGAAGCATGGATTCCACGAAGGCAGAGTTGCTACCTACATCCATGGAGGCTGAGCCCAGCACAACTCTAGGGGGTGCCAGTCACAGAGGTCAAATGGTGATGGCTCTTCTGGGATGTGCAGTGCACCAGCCCTGTGGGAAATCTATGGAAACATTTCTAGGAGTTGAAGGGTGCGGTGGGCAGAATAGTGGCTCCCCAGAGATGGTCACATTCTAATTCCCGGAATCTATAAATAGGTTGTCTTACATGGCACAAAGAGATGTGGCAGATGTGATGACATCAAGGCTCTTGAGACGGGGGGATAAGCCCAGATTATCTGGATAAAATACAGAAAGCAGAACATTCCAAGAAAAGAGGTGAAATCCCAACAGCAGAGAAGAGGACTGGGGTCAGTGAAGGTATCGTCCAGCCTGATCTCTCAGCGCACATGAGATCCGCACTGACACGGCCACGCTGATGATCACACCGCTTTTTGAACAAGTGATGGAGTGAGAAGAAGCCCTAGAGAAACCCCCGGGAATCATGTCTCCTGGCTACACCCCACCAGCAACGCCTCCTCTATCAAATCAGCCCCTGGGAGGCAGCAGGATCTCCGCTCGGTGCTGAGGCAGGGAGGACGGGAGGCCGAGCCCTCCAAGGGCCTCTAAGGATCCACTCGTCCAGCTCCTCGTGACAGATGAGGGGTCTCTGGCCAGAGCCCGCACTGAGGCAGCTCTGAGGAGGGGAAAGAGAGTTGACCGAACCCAGTTCCTTTGGCCTCGAGCCTCGGTTTTCTCGCAGGCAAAATGGGAGTGTTGGACTAGACTTGATCTTCCTGCCAGCCACCCCGCCACCGCTGTCACCCCTGGGCGATTATCCAGGGGACACTCTTGATCAGATTCAGCTTTGCTTCTGAAGAGGAACCCTCATGTTGCCAGGTAAAGCAGGTGCCACTTGACATGCATGAATGTGACTTCAAAAAGAACCCAAGCGATGTCATCGGAATATGTGCTGGGGCGTTTCTCAGATGTTCTCGTCGCTGTTTTGAAGGGGCTGTTGCTCCGAGGAGCAGATTCAGGGGGGTTGCTCCCGTAAGCGCCAGGAGTCTTCCTGCCAACGCGCCACGCCTGAGACCCATGCTCTCACTTCCGAAGGGAGGCTGCAAGTTGACAGAGGCTTCATGGACAGATGGACACCAGGGGGCTTTCTTCTGGGGCAGTTAGAGGGACCGAGGAGGGGAAATTCCCTCCACATCCACGCAACACTATTTAATGCTGGTGTTTTTGTTTTGTTTTGGTTTTGAGTCAGAGTCTCACTCTGCCACCCAGGTGGAGTGCAGTGGCATGCTCACGGTCACTGCAGCCTCCACCTGCTGGGCTCAGGCAATCCTCCCACCTCAGCCTTCCAAGTAGCTGGAACTACAGGTGCGCGCTCCCATGCCTAGCTTATTGTTTGATTTATTGTGGAGATGAGGTCTCACCAAGTTGCCCAGGCGGGTGTTGAACACCTGAGCTTCGGCAATCCTCTCACCTCGGCCTCCCAAAGTGCTGGGATGACAGGCTTGAGTAATGCTGGTTTTTGACCTAAAACTGCTTGTGGACAGACAGTCCCAACCACCAGATTCTTGCTGGAGGAGAGACTGGCCCAGCAGTGCTGAAGGCCACTGTCTGTCCCGAGAGTCCGCATCTCGGGGCACACGCATCTGCTTGTTGACTAGAGCTGTTTCTGTGGAATTTCATTTGGTTTGTAAGACGGAGATTGTTCTAGTCCTGCTGTCTAGCCCCCTAGGCTGTGACCATTATGGAGCTGGCCAATGCTGGAATTTCCCCTCCTCCATCCCTCCAAGAGCTCACTCAGCCTCAGTGCCCCAACAGAGTGCACGCTCTTTCTCCAAGGCACCCATTCCATCCTTAAAAAGTTGTTCCAGCAGGACACGGTGGCTCATCGCTGTCATCACAGCACTTGGGGAGGCTGAGGTGGGAGGACTGCTTGAGGCCAGAAGTTTGAGACCAGCCTGGGCAACATAGTAAGACCTTGTCTCTACAAAAATCAAGAAATTAGCCAGGCATGATGGTGCACGCCTATACCCTCAGCTTAGGAGGCTGACTTGAAAAAATTGCCTGAGCCCAGGAGGTTGAGGCTGCGGTGAGCTGATTCGCGCCACTGTCCTCCAGCCTGGGGGACAGAGTAAGACCCCAACTCAAAAACCAAGAAAGAAAAGAAAAGGTTCTTTCTTAAGGAGAACACAATTCAGACCCTGGTTCAAGTCTTGGATAAGATGGGTGTAAGACTCATCGCTGTGGCCGGATAGAGCCCCCTGGCCATAGATCAGGCGCAGTTTGGTTTTGAATCCAAGTGTGTCCACCTCAAAGCCACCCCTTCTTCACTATGCTCCCCACCCTGAGCTCTGGCTGCCTGGACCCCAGGTTTTCAGCTGCCAAGTTGAGCAAGCCATTACCTTTCTATCCAGCCCAACTTCTGCTCCTAAAATTAATGGTGGCACTGGACATCCTGATGTGATGTCTGTGTCCTCCTCATCATTACAGGAAATAGCTACCTGCAAGTGTTTACTCCATGCCAGGCACTTGGGGCGGGTTGATCACTGTCCCCATTTGTAGGGGAAACAGAGGAAGTGAGTGGCTTACCCATGGCGCATGTGACAGGCAGAGAGCCAGATCCCTGCCACCCACCCAGCCCCAGAGTTTCACTCTTGCCCACCCTGGATGCCTGAGGGATGCTTGCCTTCCGGGCTCTCCACTGAGGAAGTTTCAGCTTCATTTGTTGCATTCTCTAAGACTGGAATTTCTGGAAACCAGCATATCTACATAGACAGTGCTATGGACTGGATGTTTGTGATCTCTGGCTTTGGGGTGGACACACTTGGATTCAAAACCAAACTGCGCCTGATCTATGGCCAGGGGGCTCTATCCGGCCACAGTGATGAGTCTTACACCCATCTTAGCCAAGACTTGAACCAGGGTCTGAATTGTGTTCTGCTTAAGAAAGAACCTTTCTTGCATTGAAATCCTAACCCCAGTGTGATGACACTCACATGTGGGACCTTTGGGGGTGATTAGGTCATGAAGACAGAACCCATATCAGTTGAACTAAAGCCTGGATAAGAGAGACACAAACAACATAATTTCTCTCTCTCAGTCGCGTGAGAATACCAGGTTTGCCAGCACCTTGACTTTGAACTTTCCAGGCTCCAGAACTGTGAGAAATAAACTTTCATTATTTCAGTCACCCAGTCTACGCAGCCTGAACAGACTAGGAAAGGGGAATCGGCCTGAGCTAGAAGAAAAGTGCCACCCACCCCCAATGCCTCAGGGCGTGGAAGGTCAGGGAGAGAAACCTCCCGGCTGCTGGCCCACCTACCCACGCCTCTTCCGGGTCCACCCCTCGTCCTGTCTGGTCCCCTATTGGACAGTCGAACTTCATTCAGCGTCTCTGTGTTTCCTCCCAATATCCCTCCTCCACTTTCTAAGGAAGTCTTCCGAGACACATGCTCATAAAATCCTCCAGGGCTTAGTGGGAAGGACGGTGAGCCCTGGGTCCTTGGGAAACTGTATAAGGAGCAGAAGGTTCTGAAGGTTCGAGTGCAACATGCAGCTCAGCTGTGTGATGAGGTGAGTCCATCAGTCATTCACCCTCCGCTGACTTTCTGCAACACGGGAACCGTGTAATCCATCGGCGGATAGAGGGAGGGCAGGGGTGATACGAGGCAGCAAGCAACACCGAGCACGCTGTCAGTCTCATGTCAGACTCATGTCTGCAGCTTTCCTCTCTGTCTTCCATGGTCTGCGTGGAGCCCAGGGACTTGCACACAGGACTGCTCGAGGGTTGCTGCCAAACCCACAAGAATCTTCCTTCCTGGGATTCCGACTTACAAACGCCAGGGATCTGGGAGCAGCCCAGGCACCTGTGTTCTTTTCTTGAGGTGGAGTCTCACTCTGTCGCCCAGACTGGAGTGCAGTGGCTGCTCCCGGCCACCGCAGCCTCGACCTGCTGGGCTCCGGCGATCCTTCCGCCTCAGCCTTCCGAGTAGCTGGAACTACAGGTGCGCGCTACCACGCCCGGCTAATTTTTTTGATTTACTGTAGAGATGAGGTCTCACCAAGTTGCCCAGGCGGGTCTCGAACCCGCGGGCTCAGGCCATCCACTCAACTCAGCCTCCCAAAGTGTGGGATTACAGGCTGAGCCACCGAGCCCAGCTAGCCTGTGTTCTTAAGTGGCACCTCTCAGACCCCGGGGACACACACATCAATATGGGCTTGCGAGAGGGCCTGGGACAGCTTCTTAGGGTGGCCCTTCCAGTGGGACCGTGTCTCTGGCCAGGTGGGCAGAACGGACATGCGGGCAGACGCCACATCTCGCCCACTCACCTGTAGCAGCTCAAACACGGCAAGGAGGTCCCCTCCAGAGAGGTTCCCGCAGAAAATGGGGTGGTAGCACAGCCTGGGGGGCTCGTAGTCCTGGCCAGCCAGCTTCACCACAGGCGCGGCCACCGTGGAACCCAGGTATTCCGGCTTCCCCTGCGGCAGAAAGGAAGTGAACTCTGTTTCCTGAGTGTGAGCCACCTGGTTCTGACCCACATCAGCAAAAGGTTGGAAATATGAGGGGGAGCCCCCAAAAACGGGAATTATTTTTTGGAGGGCGGGTCCCTTGTGAGGCAGGTAAGAGTTCTAGGAACCCACTGGCATCAGTGGATTTGTGGGTGTTGTTGTGAGAGGCTATGTTTGGTGTCAGTGAATTTTTTTTTTGGAGATTCTTTCAACACGCTTGCCCATTCCATGATGGGTGATTTGTGAGCGCACCTGCCCACGCTGCGCTGAGTGTTCAGCAGTTTTGGACCCCAAACAGCACGACCTCCGTGCCCCCCCCACCTTCGCCCAATCTTGCCCCAAACAACTTTTTTTCTTGCCACCCATGAAGAAAGTCCTCGAGGGGAAACATTTTGCCGATGTGGAAGAGAAACCAAAAATGGCAGAAGCCCTAACAGGCATCAAAGCTGACGAGTTCAGAAACTGCTTTAAGCAGGCGGAAAAGCGTCTTGATAGGTGGATCGAATCAAACCGAGAGTGCTTGGGGGGTGACGGAAGCTTAAACACATAAGAATCAATCCACAGTTTTTCTAAATAACTCCAGGTTTGGGGGTGCCGCTCATAATCCTCACAGAACCGTCTGCATCGTGCCCTCCTCGCCTGCTGTCTCTCTGTCTGCCCAGGGCCTCTCGCCCAAACCCACGAGCGTGGGGGCCGGTGGAGGCCAAGGACCTTGGGAAACTCTACGAAATTCACCCTGGGGGCTTCCTGGCCCAAGGCTGGCAGGGTGTGTCTCTGTCCTCCTGTTGAACTCCCCGTGGGAGAAAGTAAGAATGCTGTCTCTGGGGCAGCTGGGAGGAGGCGGGAAAAGTAGAGGGCAGCCCTTGTCTCAGAGGCCCCCAGCAGGGTGCTGCCGTCGGGCGAGCGTGAGCCACGGAGCCGGGCAAACCTGAGTCTGAGTTCTCACGTCTGTGGCTTTCTAGCTCTGCATCCTGGGTCAGATACTCAACCTTCGTGAGCCTCACGGCTGCAAAGGCTTAAACGTAATGCTGTTCATAGGGTCATGGGGGTAATGGCGTGTTGCATATGCTCTGCACAGTGAACGGTATACAACAAGCACCCAGTACTCAGCAACATGGCGACGATGATGGTGGTGGTGACGATCAAGATCAGCGCGGTTAATTATGGGGCAGTTCTGTCCTCTTTTCCTTGGTAGTAAAAGAAGAAATGGGACTATCTTTGGGCCAGACTCGGTGGCTCACACCTGCCATCCCAGCACAGAGGGAGGCCAGGGCAGGAGGATTGCTTGAGCCCAGGAGTTTGAGACCAGCCTGGACACAACAGTGAGACCTCATCCCTACAAAAAACACTTTAAAAATTTGTCAGGCATGGCGGTGCATGCCTGTAGTCTCAGCTCTCCAGGAGGCTGAGGAGGGAGGATCATCTGAGCCCGGGAGGTCAAGGTTGCAGTGAGTTGTGATCAGGCCATTGCATTCCAGCCTGAGCAATAGAGTGAGTCCCCAACTCAAAACATAATAATAAAATAAAATATCTTTGTATGTATGTGCATGGGCCATAAGTTCCTATGAGAACTATCTGTGGGCTCCGCTCTGTGCCTCTTTTCCAGGCCGCCTCCCAGGAGCCTGGTTATCTCAAGAACCCTAAGTTCCTCGTGGGCAGAGTCGCCCGCATTATTCACTACTGGGTCCCTGGTGAGGGCAGGGACTCAGCGCATGTTTGCTGAGGGAAGTTGCTGGCTAAATGCCCTCTGCCGTCCAAGGACAGGGCCACGTCCTCGTGGGCGGAGGCTGGGCTCGGCAGTCATGCTGCACGGTCACCTCTGGACGCGGCACTTGCCTCCTTAGCTGCTGGGTGACACTGGGTGGAGGCAGAGCGTGGCTTCCATCCAGCCGCATTTGAAGCAGGGAGGTTGCCTGCCTGCCTGCCTGTGTCCCCAGTGGGTCAGACCTGATCAGGCCCAGGTGGAACCAGGGCCGCTGGGTAGGAAATGTGTGGTCTGCCTGACAAAGAGTTTGCTCATTGACACAGCTGGGAAAAGTTCACTCAAATTAGTCATGGAGACAAAAGAGCGAACGAGAGCCCCAGAAGCCCATCTTCCACATGCAAACTCATTTCACAAAACCAGCAGACCAAGTGAGGGCACAAGCCACAGGGACACGCAATGACACTCCGACCAGACGCATGGGCCCCGCGGGTTCCAGTTCCGATAATCTGGTCCCCACCACATTTGAGGCCCACTTAGTTGCAGCCCACCACAGTGACGACATCTTTGGCATGCCTACGGGTATTTCTCCTGGAGGAGAGCGCAGACTTTCTTACTCTTTTTCTCCCATTTCCTTTTCCCTTGAGAGTCGAAAATGTAAGCTTGATTTCTTGGGAAAGAGCTGGCTTAGGGTTGGGCCAGAAACAGCCACCACTGGATGAGATCTAGAAGGGAAAGGGACACTCGGAGTGGCAGAGGGGACAGCGCCAGCCTGGCAGGGTGGCTTGCCTACACTTCAAGGACTAAGCTAACACTTAAGAGCGAAAGCATGGTGTCAGGAGCAAAGCTAGAAAGGTGGTTATGGTGTGGTCTTCCCTCCAGCAAATGAAGGCGACATCCTGAGCAGTAGAAATCTCCTGTCATAAATATGTACATTGAACCCCAGTTTATGGATGGGGGATGGGGCCAAGAGGGAGGAACGGTGTGGAGGCCGGGATGTGCACACGTAGAAGAGACTGCCACCCCCGCCTGGGTTACACGTGCCAGCAAGTGTGTACAGGAGACCTGGGTTTAAGTTCTGGCTCTGCCTCCAAGTGACTGTGACCTCAAAGAAGGTATGTGAGTGACCTGTGTCTGTTTCCTCCTCTAGGAAGCAAGAGGGGTGGGGGCTGGGTGTGGTGGCTCCTACTGGTAGTCCCAGCTCTTTGGGAGGTCAAGGCGGCAGAATTGCTTGAACCCAGGAGTTCGAGACCAGCCTGGACAACATAGCAAGACCTCGTCTCTACAAAAAAATCAGAAACCAAGCATGGAGGTGTTTACCTGTAGTCCCAGCTACTTGGGAGGCTGAGGTGGAAGGATCATCTGAGCCCAGGAGGTCGAGGCTGTAGTGAGCTGTGATCATGTCCCTGCACTCCAACGTGGGTGACAGAGAGACCCCAGCTTCAAAAAAAGGAGGTATGTGTGCTCTCCGAGGTACCTATTCACCTTCTGTGATGTCTCCATCCTAACCCCCTCCTGATCTTGACCCAGGACCGGGCCCAGGAGAGCTTCGAGGAGGCAAGGGGGGTTTGGAAGACTTCCTGGAACAACTATGGTACTTAACAGTCGTGCTTCTGCAACTTTGTGCGGAACTAGAGATGCTAAATAAAACAAGTAAACCTTTGCCTTTCCATTTGGACTTCCTGATTTAAAAAGGAAAAATAATATTTGTCTTGGTAAATTTTAAAAAATCCACTTGTGAATCTACCCAAGGGTTCGGCCACGAGCCCCCTTAAAGAGGAAGAGGTTGAGTTTGCATCATAGGAGAGAAGAGATAGAAATGAAAACGGCATTCAGGCTGAGAAGTAACCACCAAGAAAAAGGCCCAGGACGGTGCCCAACTGCTGCCTTCCAGCTGGGCGAAATCAGCCAACACCTCCCGCTTTCAGAAGGCGAGGACACTTTTATCAAAGGCAAGAGGACCCAGAGCCAGCTACAGGCTGGGCACAGCCACTGGCCACTTCACGCAAGCCTTCTGTTCCTGAAGAAGGGTGTCAGCTGAAGCTTTGCGCACTGGATCCGATTTTAATTGCAGCCTCGAGGGAAATCAGTGAACAACCCCCTTCAGGAAAACAAACGACCATCACCAGTGTTTTTGGCTCCGTGAGCTGTTTCCAGAGGTCAGAATGCCTCTGGGTCTGTCCAGCATCCTGACCATGACAGCACCTGAACTTTATCTACCTTAAAAAAAAGTGAGCCCGCTCAATGTGGCGTTGTTGGCGCGGCGTGGCCTGCGCTGGCCGGGGACACTCACCACCGCGTCGCTGTCGTACAGCTCCACCACCACCAAGGGCGGGGACTCCTGCAGCTCCTTCTCGTCCCCGTGCACCCCCAGGTCGTTGAACAGCAGCATCTGGTTCCAGGTGGGAGAGAGCGTCTGCGAGATGACCTGGAAGAGGAGGAAAGAAAAGCAGAAGATGGTTCAGCCCGGCTGCAGGCGCTCCCGGGCCACTTGGCAGGGACCTGTGCAGGAAAGTAAGCACATCACTGCCGGGGCTGAGCGTTCACTCAACGTTCAAGCGCTTCCGGGCCTTGAGCAGCAACTTTGCACCGGAAGGAGGGATGCAAAGAGCCCCTGCCCTGGGGAAGATGCCATTGTTCATTTATTCATGTGTTTGTTTGTTGCACAGAGAAGAGGTCTCGCCATGTTGCCCAGGCTGGTCTCAAACTCCTGGGCTCAAGCAAACCTCCTGCGTTGGCCTCCCAAAGTGCTGGGATGACAGGCATGAGCCACCGTGTTTGGCTGAGACAGTACTTTTAGCAGGCGTTGCGGGCAGGGCCCCTACGATGTTCACCACCCTCTGCATACCTGATTCCGACCCGCTCCTCGCAGTCACGTGAATGGCAACCATACACCCACAGTGTGTGAGTTGCTGTGTTGATGTGCGTTGTCTCGTTCAGACCTCACCATAGTTCTGGGAGGCAGGTTCAGTTACGGGCATGCATTTTCCAGACCAGGATGTGAGGCGTGTCTGTCCAGAGCCAATGAGCGGCAGGACTGGGGTCTAACCTAAATCGCTGGACAGCAATGCCCGGGCTGCCCCTCAGCCCCCACCAAGGAGGTGCTCACAGTGTTTTCATACTATGGGTGGAAAACTGGTGGGGAGGGAGACTAAATGATTCTTTGCTTAGGAGCAAAGAAAATGTCTTCAAATACTCCAAAGTTGGGCTTCAAATCTAATATTTCTTATATAGAATTCTACTGCTTTGTGGATATTTCTTTCTTTCTTCTTTTTAACCTCTGAACTTTTTATTGGCTTCCTGCTTCCCCAAAGGGCACCCTGCTCCCATCACCTCAACGCCTCATAACTTTGGTGTCGTTGGTCTCAGACACCAATTTGCCGTCCACTCTCCTGCGGGTGGCGGTCTTTTGGACGGTCTGGATGGAGCTGCTGCTGTCCAGGCCATCACTGAGACTGACGTCCTCTCCATCTTCCAGCAGGCAGCGGCAGGTGGCGATCTCAGCCTCCAGCTTGACGTTGATGTTCAGCAGGGCCTTGTACTCCTGGGTCTGGTGCTGGCCCTCTGTCCGGGTCTGTGCCAGCTCAGACTCCAGGTGCAGCAGGGTGCCGTGGAGCTGCTCCATCTTCATGGCGTCGCGGCCCTCCATCTCCCTCAGGCTGTTCTCCAAGGTGGCCTTCAGGTCCCTCATGGAGTCCAGGTCAGTCTCCAAGGACTGCACTGTACGTTTCAGCTCCGTGAGCGTCATCTCGGCAGCTCCAATCTTGGCGGACTGCTTGGTGACCACTGTGGTGATCTCCTCGCTCTGCTGGGACCAGTGCTTGTCCAGCTCCTTTCGGTTCTTCTAAGCCAGCTCATCATCCTGGGCCCGGATGCTGCCATGATCTTGCTGAGGTCCTGAGATTTGGGGCATCTACTTCCATGGTCAACCCAGCGCTGGCAATCTGGGCTTGTGGGTGTTTTACGTCCTCCTCGTGGTTCTTCTTCACAAAGAGCAGCTCCTCTTTGAGATCCTGGATCTCTGTCTCCAGCTGCAGCCGGGGGACACTGGTGTCAACAATGACCTTGCGGAGCCCACGGATGTGGCTCTCCACGGACTGGCGCATGGCCAGCTCGGTCTCCTACTTGACTCTAAAGGCATCAGCTTCAAGACAGGCCTTGTCCATCTGCAGCACGATGCGAGCATTGTTCACAGGAGTTGCAAAGATTGGAGCCCTCAGGTCCTCGAGGGTCTTGAAGCCATGTCCCCAGTCTCTGACCTGGGGTCCCTTCTTCTCCAAGTGTTCCTGGATTTTGCTTTCCAGGCTCGGGTTCTCGGTCTCTGGCTTTTCACCCTCACCAGGTAGGAGGCCAGGCGGTCGTTCAGCTCTTGCACAGTCTCCTTCTCACTCTGGATGCCCCCCAGACTCCCAGCCATCCCCGTGGCCAGGCCCCCGGACCCCCAGCCACCCGGAAACTGGTGGAGCGGGACACAGAGATCTGGGAGGCTGAGCTGCTGGTGCCTGCATGGACGCTGGCCGCGCTGCTGGTGGGCCGGAGGCTGGGCGGCTGGGAGCTGTGGTGGAGTAGGTGGTGGAGTGAGTGGTGAAGCTCACGGTGGCAGCAGAGGAGAGCCAGACGGTAGAACTCACGTTTGGTCAGATATTTCTTGACTACATGGAGTAGATGTGGGTCTTCAAAACAACCCTCACCATTTTTTTTTGAGTTGGTGTCTCACTCTATTGCCCAGGTTGGAGTGCTGTGGCATGATCCCAGCTTACTGCAGCCTCGACCTCCTGGACTCAGGTGATCCTTCCACCGCACCCTCCTGAGTAGCTGGGACCACAGGCACGGACCACAATGCCTGGCTATTTTTTTTATTTTTGGCAGAGAAGACGCCTTGCTTTGTTGCCCAAGCTGGTCTTGAACTCCTGGGCTCAAGCAATCCTCTCATCTTGGCCTCCCAAAGTGCTGAGAGTCCTGGCTGACCCCTCACCATTTTGCATGACACTTTCTTCCATGGGGTTTAGGATATCAGCAAACTGTAAGGCTGATCGTTGCCTGCACCCATTCTGCAGATGGAGAAATCAAAGGGCAAAGAGGACAGTGCCCTGCACAACTGGTCTAAAACCACGGAGGTCTCACCTAGAAGTGGCCCAATGCCTTGCCAGGTCACTTCAGTGGTACCTTGGGAGGGCAGGCACATTGGACTTGCATTTACTTCTCCACGAATGGGATGTTTGCAGCGCGCCAGAGTTGAAGGCTGGGGTTGTTGCAGCTGCGGTGGGTGGACTCCACCTGGACGGAGGCTGCCCACTCACACCGGAGCCAGTCCTGGGAAGAGTCCAGAACTGCATTCCCTTCCCTCCCAGACACAGGAGTGATGCCCCAGGTGAATGTGTCCCAGCAGCCGCTGGGCCCTAGGAGGCGTCCACAGTGGCTCTGGACGGCACCCTGATCTGTGGGTGCTCGGTCCAAGGGGGAGGGGAGAGAGGCCTGGCTGGGACTCGAGGCCCACATACAACTGTCATCTCAGAGTTTTACATCGAGTCACCTCTGGTCACGGCATTGAGTCATCTGCACAGGGTCATGAAAGGGTATTTTCGCGGCTCTTCTGCCTGTGAGTCATAACAGTATCGTGCATTTTCACAACTCTCTTCTCTTCTTGCTTTTTGCTTTTAGAATACTGTATGCCTCAGACACACCAAGGTTTTAAATGCAACATTTCAGAGGAAATCTAACTTTTCTAACGGGAAATGAATGGCTTCAACCAACCAATAAGGCCGAGTCGTGGAGCTGCTGTTCAGAGCTGGCCTGTATCCGTGGCTGACATCACAAAGAACCACGTGCCTGTGCTTCGCTTTCGAAAAGCGCCCTATGGTGTCACACCAAAATCGTGGACCGCCTTCACAGCATCTTTCCTTCAGAAATATTTTGCTGTCTCCCCTGGCCCTGGGCTGCAAATGGCAGCTGAGGAGACTCCAGAGGCCAGCATTTGTCCATTCCTTCCTTCATTCTTCATAGGGTTATTCAGGACCTGGCGTGAGCTAGGCAGTGTTAGGCACGGACACACTTTCTGTGCGCAGCAGGCGCTCAGTAGCTGTTTTCGTGAATGAGTGAGCGGGTATTGACCTGTCTTCAGAGTTGCACCCATGAGTGAAAGGACCTTTGAGATGTACTAAAAGGTTCACCCAAGCGAAATAAACGTTCCAACTTCTCAGCCAAGGTACTCTTGAGGATATGAGGGCTGAGAGTTGTCTGCACCCATTCTACAGATGGAGAAAATCAAAGGACAAAGAGGACAATGGCCGGCATTACTGGTCCAAAGCCACGAGGGTCTTACCTAGAAGTGGGTCACAGCCCCCTTCCTTTAAGAAGAACTTAGGGGCTTCCTTAATGAGGTACACATCATAACTGGGTTGAGTGACATCCTTTGGAAGGTTCTGGTAGCACTTAGCTACCACTGTGACAAGAGAGTCAGCTGTCATGGACAGGGTATACTTTTAGGATCAGATCATCCTGGAATAAAATCCTAGTCCCATCACCTATCCTGTGTCCCCCCGAGCAGGTGAATTAACCTCTCCAAAACTTTGTTTTCCTCGCATAAATGGGGTTAGCACCTGCCTTATGGCGTTGTCATGACTGCTGCTCGAGAATATTAAATGCCAGGCACACAGTAGGTGCTCAATAAGTGCCTGTTGCCCACTTCACTCCATCCCCACCCACACTCTTGGGTAAATGAGTGAGCACCTACTGAATGCCTACCACATGCAGCCTTGGTGCACCAGGGCATGTCGTCTGACAAGAGGCCACCCGTGTCCTCAGGACTAAGTGTCCATCTGGTTACTTGAAACCCGCGCCCCCCCAAGATGCCCTCTCCTTCCCCAAAGCTCCCGTGAGTCACCGGCCCTCCTTCCTTTCTCTCCGAAGGAGCTTTTTTCTCTTTCCCTTCACCCTTCAGTGCAAGGCTTCCACGTCCACGTCCTTGGGCTGGGGCGGCCGCTTCCCCTCTTTGGATGTTTCATTCTGGTAAGTCATCTCATAAAGGCTGGGCATGCTGGACCGCCTTCCAGGGGCAGGTTCTCCTGACACCAGTGGTCAGTTCGGAGGAGGGCCACCAGGAACAAGGGCTCTTGGCCAGGACTGCAGGGTCCCAGCCAGCTCTTCCCACCATGAAGAGGGAAGGTGAGGTCATTTACTGGCAGACCAGGCCCTCCGCGCAGCCCTCGCTGGACCAGGAGAGGGATGCTGGAACTCTCTCCCACCACACTGGAGGCACAGTGGGTCGGCAGAGTGACTGGAATCGGCCGAGCCTGGGCCTCTCAGCTTCACCGTCTGCTGTGTGTCATCTCCGAGCCCTACCTTGCTCATCTGCAGAGGGAGGACCCTGATAGCACCACCCTCGGGCTGCAGTGGAGTGTCGGAAACAGTGCGTGTCAAACACACAGCCTCATGCCCAGCACACGCGGAGCTTTGAAGACCCGACAGCTGGTATTACTGACGATTGCCGACTACTTGGTTCAGAATGACAGAGGCCACACCCAGGGCTCACAGAACCTGTTTTCTCTTTCCAGCGATCACCTGATCAACAGATGATCTGAGCTACGGGTCTAAGTCAAAGGAGGATGCGGTCTGGAGAGACAGAAGAGAATCACAAAGCACAAAGGTCACCTGGCCCTAAACCAGGGGAGTGAGGACCCGTGGGAAGCCCAAGCTTCACCTGCGCATACATTACTTATGCACCTAATCCTGACATGTGCCCCCCATCGTTATAAAATAAAGGGGGAAAAAAGTATCCCAGCAAGCTCACACAACCACCCCTCTTGTTCCTGCAGGGCCTGTGATCACCCTGGAGACCTGGAATTCCACAGCGTTGTGGCAGGTGGAAGAGGGCTCTGGGCTCTATCAAGAGAATCCCCAAGGCCTGTCTGGGGGTCCCCTAGGAAGAATGCACAACACTATCATTCCTATTTCACAGATAAAGCAGCCAAGCCATCAAGAGAGCTATGCTTCCTGTCACCCAGGGATCCATGGAAGAGCACGGATTAGACCAGGCAATCCAGAGTGTGTACCCACAATTGCCACAAATCACCTCTCGAAGCACGGGAAGAGGCCGCAGCCCCGGGCCTCCGTGTTCTCAGGCTCAGCTGCTGAGTGAGGATGAAGCCGCTGTCCTCCTGGGCACCCCAGCTCCCTCTCCAGGCAGGGTGAACCCCCGCTCCACCCAGCTCTTGTGGGCCTCAGCCCTGCATTAGTGGCTTGCTGGAGTGCAGCGACTACACAGGAGCGGAGCCTGGGCCCTGTGTCCTCCAGAGCCCGGTACATGCCTTGGACAGAGCCAGCACCCCGCGGGTGCTGGGGAGGTGATGGAGGATGGCTCACATCACGCCCTGTCTGTGAGTCGTACGTCAAAGCCTGGTCTAATCAGTCACTTGGGCCGAGGGCTTGGCCCTGGAGAAAGCTGTCAACCGCCTTGACACATGCCAATAGAACGTCCAACGCTTATCAGTCACTTCATGCACTTGACTTTCTGCTTCATGACGGTCCTATTTTAGGAGGATGAGCCTGAGGTGTAGTGAGTTGTGAGGAGGTGAGCAAGCCAGCAGCCTCGGGCACCAGAGTCCTGACACCCAGGGCCGAACACCCTGAGACGGGTGATCCTTTACCAAGCTTCTCCCACTTCAAACAGCAAATCAGAGAGCAGCTCAAGTTAGAGAATGAGAGAAGCATCCTACTGGACGTGTGCTGACTAGAAATCCTTTTTGCATTTCAGCACTCGACATCCAGGAAAGGGGAAAGACAGAGCCATGCTGTGTCTTGAACATTTTTCCCCTCCAAAACTCATGTTGAAACTGAATTTCCCATCTGGCAGGATTGAGAGGCAGGGGCTTTAAGAGGCTCTGCCCTCACGAATGGATTCATGGATTGATGGGCTAATGGTTATCTTGGGAGGGGAATGGGTACCTTTATAAGAAGAGGAGGAGAGCTGAGTTAGCACACTCTGCCCTTACCGTGTGACACCCTGCGCCTCCCTGGGACTCGGCAGAGTCCCCACCAGCAAGAAGGGCTCGCCAGACGCAGCCCCTCTCAGCCTCCGTAACATAAGCAATGAGTTCCTTTTCTTTACAGAGAGCTTGGACTTCCCCAGCTCCATAAACGCAAGAAATAAATTCCTCTTCTTTATAACTGGCCCCACTTTAGGTATCCTGTTATAAGCAAACGGTCTAAGATGACCCACGTTCTTTCATCCTCAGGACAGCTGTGAAGAAGTCATGTTTTCTAGCGGTGGGGGCTTCTGAAACACAGTAGTCTCTCTTACAAGGGCTTTCAGCCCAGAGCTTCCCAACCACGAATCCAGAGACCTTCCTCCGCTCCAGCCTTGCCCGTCATGACTGGACCATGAGCCCCACACAGGCTGCCAGAGCTGTGTCCTCACCTGCCCTTCCCCGTGCACTTGGCCTCACGCCTGCATTCAGTAGGTGTCCTAGGTGCACCTGGTTCTGCTCCTCCTGGCTCCTCTCTCCTCCCAACCTTCCTTGGCCCCGGGGACTTGCGTCCTCTGCCCTAGGACAGTGACTCGCGGCGAGTCCTTCCTGGCACACGTCTGCATTTGAGTCTGAGACACCCACACGCCCAGAGACACAGGCATGTGCAACGCGCCCTGCCTTTTCTGTCCCGGGCGAAAGTGGGCTGGGCCTCCATTACCTTTGTGGTCTGGCAGTGAGACAGGAAAGTGACCTTGGCAAAGGGGTCGGAGAGTCCGGTGCTGTCAGCTGCGATGAGGCCCCGGGCTTGGTACATGTGCGCTCTCAGCTGGAAGGTGTGCCGGGCTGTGGACAGACCATGGAGAGGGCAGGTGTGAGTGGGCTTTCCAGGACGGCGAGTGCAAGCGTGTGTCCTGTGTGTGATGTGCATCTACTGAAAGATGAGAGGAGGCCTCCGGCCCCACCATCCCTGCAGCAAAGATGGAGGTCACAAGGAAGGAAGAGGTGACACCGAGGGGCAATGAGGGGTGGCTGTCCCCTTGGCGCCTTTGTGCGTCTTAATTGCTGCCACGCCCTTGACACACAGAGCGCGATCTCCATTTCCTAGATGAGGAAGATGCCCCCCGAGAGGCTGAGATACTTTCCAAAGCCTGGGGAATCGACCCACCCAGAGCCTGGGCTGTGTTTCTGTCAATTACCAAATCCACTTTTCTTTGTAAAATCCCATTTTCTGCTCCCTAGTGGTTCTCTTGTTTACACTGGCGTGTGTGTGTGCGCGCTTGTGCATGAGTCTTTTTATATCTTGAGGAGTCATCGCCCATCTACTTTCCCTAGAGCACCTACTGCGTACCTCTTGGTCTCCAAGGATTCTGAGGTAGCCAGAACATGGCTGCCTCTGGGGAGCTCCTGGGAGGGGACAGACGGTGACACGAGCACCCACACTGCGGGGACAGGAGGCCGGATGTGAGTCCTGTGAGGCGCCCGCACAGAAGGACATGGGGCGAGGGGCGGAGCGAGCGTAACTGTGAGCAGGCTGGAGGCGAGGGGGCCTGCAGCGGGGATTCGGCCAGGACCTCCAGGAAGAGTGGGACTCGTCATCGCCCTTGGGACATGGTGATCGTGGGCCCCGGCAAGGCGCCTCCTGGGTTCTGAGCTACTTATTTCTTTTTATCTCCTTGCCCGTTCCCGTTCCCCTGGCTCCCCCAGAGGTTGTGTTCAGCATGCCTCCGGGTGTCTGTGTCAACACAGGGACCCGTATGCAGGAACACTCGCACACCAGTTGAGTAACTCAGCTAAACCAAGGGCACAGACACCCTGTGTGTGTCTCTGTGCCCCGCCTCGCTTATCTTGCTTGGCTCCGTGCGGGGACTTACATGGGATCAGGACCCTCTCTGTGTCTTTCTTTCCTCATTTGTAAAGGGGGGCCCCTAATGGCTCCTCATAGCTTATCGTAGGGGCACAGAGGGCTGAGAGTGGAGCCTGGCACCTGGGAAGGACGTCCAGCATGGCACGGGCCTGGTGAGCTCTTTCTGCTGCCCACCGCAATGCAGCCTGTGCTGGTGGGCAGCTGGAAGGAGCCCAAGGACCCGCTGTTGGGGAGTGGCAGGGAAGAGGCCAGGACCTCGGAGAGCCGTTGGGAGCCACGGATTGGAGGTAGACACGGCCAAACGAATGGAACCCAGTGCTTCATGAGGAATGATCAACAGCACGGTACGTAACACGGTCCTCCCCATGTAACGTAAGACTCCGAGGGGAGCCAAAAAACACGGAATGATCTTCTGAACGGTGAACCCTTGTAGCACGGGCTTCCCCTGCTGGGTAAGTGTTCTAGGAACCCGTTGGCATCAGTGGACCTGCTAGTGTTGTAGTGAGAGGCTGTGCTCGGCTTCAGTGAATTTTTTTTTTTTTTCAGATTCTTTCGACACGTCTGTCCATTTCGTGATGGGTGATTTATGAGCGCACCTGCCCACACTGCGCTGAGTGTTCGGCAGTTTTTGAGCCCAAACAGCACGACCGCCCTGCGTGGTTTTTGTGTTTCCCCAGATGAAAAAAGCCCTCAAAGCGCCCCTATACGTCAACACAAACACAGATCCACACTGAGCCCCGTACCTCCGGGACAGTCAGGCGAATGGGAACGGGCAAGGAGATGAAAAGGAATAAGCAGCGCCACGGCCAGAGCCCATGACGTGGAGAGGTGAAACAAAAAACAGCCCTAAACGTCCTCGGAAGTGACGCGTTCAAAAACCGTTTTGAGCCGCGGAAAAAGCGTCTCCATTGCCATATTGCATCAAACCGAGCGGAACTCGAAGGTGTCTGAAGTTTACACAACAAAGAATTGATACTCAATCTTTTACAAATAAATTCCAGGTTTTCTGAGGTCCCCCTCATGTGTGCACACAGGAAAAACTCTCAGGGCCAAATCAAGTTCAAGTAAGAAGGGCAGACTCCGGCGGAGGCAGCCTGGCCCACAGAGCAGAGCCCTGGAGGACAGCAAGGTCTGGCAGGCAGGGGTGGAGGCTGCGAGCAGCTGGCGCAGGGTGAGCCAAGACAAGGCCAAAAACGCCAGGCCAGGGGGCACAGGTGCTGTCTCGCTTGCCCAGGGTGCCGGGTCCCGGACGGTCCTGCCATCCCGCTGAGAACCCAGGAGGCCTGCAGGCGACACGGCATCTGGTTTAGCAGGCAGTCGGGGGACTTTTTCAGATACGTGCACAGGGCTGATGCCAGCAACGCAATGCTTCAGGACGATAAACTGAGTCAAGGCAGCGGCGGGCAGAGACATCCGGACGGAGGCTGATGAGGGAGAGCACCGCCGTCCACGAGCGGGACTTCTCGGGCCAGATCTCACGCACAGGTGGTGGGGCCGGAAGGCGTTAGCAGCTGGAACAGCAAGCATGTCCAGGGCCTTGGTCTCTAGAGATAGTGTCTATACACACAGGAAGGCAGCTTGCTGTATGTGTTTTCCACTCCCAAATGAAAACTCTGTAAAGGCAGGGTGGAAAACAGCGGAAAGCAAGCAGGGTTTGGAGAGAGTTGCTCCATCGTGGACTAGCTGTGTGGTCTTGGGCAATTTCTAAGCATCTCTGGCACATACTTCCTCCATCTGCAAAACTTCCCAGGATTGATGGGAGAAACCAGGGAGACCTTATGCGTACAGCACCAGGCACAATGCTCGGCATATGGTAGGGAGTGTGCGCTTTCCAGAAAGACAATGCTTTTACACATTGACACTGGGCACAGACGCAGGAGCAGAGCCATCAGATTTGTGTCTCCAGGACCTTGTCTCCTCTGACTCTTTAAGTCACCTGGCTGCCACTGGCACCCAAGGCGACCAGTCTCCAAGGAGCCGGAGGGTATAGACAGTCCTCTGGTGTTTCCAACATTGGCTCAAGTCAAGCCAACTTCAGGGGCGGTGCAGTAACACTGCAAGCTGCTTTATCTGAAGTCAGCAGCATGAGATTACAACACTGAAAGCAATTTGGAAACCAAATGCAAAATGCAATTGTAAGGCATTAATATTCACAACAAAATCCAATGTTGTATCAAAACGTAAACACAACGGCGCTCCTAGAAAATCGCTATTGGAAGAAAGGTTTCCAGAAAGCACATACAGTTCTCAAAGCAGCCAAGCCAAGCTCCTAGTTGGAGAACAGGAGTGACCCCACCGATGCCAGTCTCTATCAGGTCACTTATGCGAAATGCGAATGTCCCCTACTGATACGTCAAAAACCCCGATGCCACGTGAAAGGGAAACCTGCTTTATTTCCACAGATCATCTCAGTACAAGAACTTCCCGATATTTCCTTAAGAGACATCTTCTGCTTGAAATGCAAACCACCTACATGGTCTACCGATAAAGCAACCCAAATCGCTCCCTCTCCGTTCACAGAAAGCCATAAATGTTGACTCCAGATGTCTCTAATGGCTTCCCTCTACGCTTCCGGATGGAGCATTGCAGGTAAGGAAGAACCCCTTAGAATTGTATTAACGAAGGCCAGTAAGTTGGTCCTAAAACAATGTGCAAACGACTCATGCAAGCTGCCCTCCCATCTTCTCAGAAACCACCAGAAGCATGGGATGCCCCCTTTGCCCGGTGGGTGCCATACCTGGGTAGAGCAGGTTGGTGGGGGGGTGGTGGGCGCCCGCCCCTTTGGAGGGCATTTCAGCTTCATAGCCCGCCGGCAAGTTGTCCAACATGGTGCTGGCGTGCCGGGTGGAGCCCAGCCACAGGTACACGTCGACTTTTGCCTGCACCGACCAGCCAGTCGGCCGCTTTCCAGGAAGCTGGGGAAGGTTACAGGGAAGACGGCCTTGTTAGTAGCAGGCCACGACAGACCTTGCTCTTTGAGAACAGAGGTCATCCTGGAGACACACCGGAGGGCTGGGGAGGGAGTCGTTCTCAAGGGCACCTCTTAAATCAGAGTGAGAACAATGGCCCCAGCCACCGGATGAGGAGCTGGGACCCCAGCAGGACCTGAAGCCGAACTGTGCTCTGTGATGAGCACTGCCAAGCCCTGGGGCGTTCAAACCCAACAGGCCGCTCTGCCTGTCGCCCCCGTTTTATAAATGAAGACACTGGCCGGGCTCGGTGGCTCAGCCTGTCATCCCGCGCTTTGGGAGGCCGAGGTGAG